TCTGGTATCCATTTTGTAACATACCCTCCGTGATCTGCTTCTCTATTTCCATTGACTCTTACCTGTGCTTACAGACGCCAAGTTTTCACTGTGTCACGGATTTAAAAAAGTTCTCTCTGCCGACATTTAATTATTACAGTTCTCTTCCTGTCTTAATTATCAGCAGTTACCTCATTAACATTAATTATACCTGACCTGGGTTTTGACTGTTTCACAGATCCGAATTATGCTCTGCCTCTTCTTTCTGATCTGATCATATTATTATTTTATTATTTATATAGCGTCATCAGATTCCGTAGCGCTGTACAATGGGATGGCATGTGAATTGGTTGTTTACCATCCCGGACCGTAACAGGTCTCTGCCTATGATAATTCTCTCCTGCGCATTCTCTCAGTTAAATTCTCTCCTCTCTCAGTTAAATAAATATTTTCCCCTGCTGTGACCAATGGCTGTGTGTTGGAAATGAATTACACTCTGCTTGCCCTGACCGTCATTTTGATAGTTCGCTGCCTATTCTATCCCTTTACCATCCCTTTAATTTCTTTACTTTTTTACTGCCTGCAACAGTATAAGCTGCAAAAATCCTGACCATCACATTCTTACCAAAACCACTTTATTTTTTTTATTAAGTACCCTACCTCCGCAAACAACCTTTCAGCCCACCTATATCTGGAACTGATCCTTGGCGTGCCTACAGGTTACTCTTTAAGTAAACCCAATAAAGGAGCACTTTAAGCTCCATAACTACTATAGTGCGCTGTAGTGGTTATGGTGTAGGGTGTACCATTATTCTACCCATGGTAAGATGTTAAACTGTTTTAGCTGGGGTGTCTATGCAACATCGGTTACATTCTGTCTAGCAAAGCAGGGCCATGCAGGTTTGTGCTTGTTGGTTGAGAGCATTATGTACAGCAGTCCTGCTTCCGTGCTTAATTCCTTAGACACCCAGATTCCCCAGCTGCAGAAGACCAGACACAGCTGATGTGGTGAGGGTGCCTGGTGGAATCAAGTTAAGTTGCTAAACCATGCAAATCAGGATGACACTGTCACGGTGTAACCTATAATACAGACGTATAGGATAGGAAGCGTATTACCGGTTCTTAAGAGTGGCTTGACTTAATGTAAAAACAGGCAAGAGAATAGTCAGGGTAAGCGAAGATCTAAGGCAGGAGAGGTACACGTGATTGAGAGACAGAGCCGAGTCAGGGGATACCAGAGAGTAGGATAATGAAGACAAGCCGGTAAGAATACTAATAAATCACAATAAACCAGGAATGGGCTATTCGGTACTACAGAGATCACACCAGGGCACTGACTACTTGACAAAATGGCTTTTTATACGAAACAAGGTCATTTGTATCATTCCTGTGCCCAGAACATATGTGAACGTTGATGAGGACGCAATGTCACGTAGCCGGGAAACTTATTTTGACGCATGGGCCCTGCATTATAAATGTATATGGAGATGCAGCATCTGGAGTCAGTTTTGCTTAATCCAAAGAGAGATCGGACTGCCCTTCTGGGGTCAAGAAGGAATGTTTTTCCTAGTTTGTTGCAAAAAAATGAAAGCGCTTTTGAATCAACAGCAAAAACAGATGTTGGAAAGGCTGAACTCAAAAAAGGACGCACGTCTCTTTTCAGCTACGTATTTTTATTTTTTATTTTTGTCAGCGTTAAACGTAAAACATGGGGGTACAGAAGAGAAGGGGGGATTTGCAATTCGTTGCGACTTTAGTACACTAGTGTGTGGGGTGAGGGTGCAGAAATAAAAACGGGGGAGAGGGTGAAGGGGAGCCCTACTTTGGTTCAGTAGTTTAACGATGTCAATATAAAATTACACAGCATCTTGGACAGTTACATTTTGGTAGTGCGTCGGTTGTATTCAATATATCATTATAACTCTAGGTGTGGAGATATGTAGCAGGGTATTAGTGTCACCTTTTTATGTAGCCCGCTTAAGAGGGTGCTCTTGGGGTTTAGGTTCATGGATGGTGGTTCGCGTAGTTGTCCTCGTTAAGTCTGGATAGGGGGGGATGAAGGGGTGGGGCAAGGGGGGATGAAGGGGTGGGGTAAGGGGGGGGACAGAGAACTTTAGCGGAGAAGGTGAATATCTTGTGGTTGGGTTTTGGGCTTAATTTGGTATGGTTCAAGCATTAGGGGATAGAGATGTTGTCGCCTCCAGTCAGGGAGGTCGTTGGTATGTGTCTGTGGTGCGTGTTTAAGTTTCAATTTTAATTGGTTTATGTTTTTCCCAGAGTTCCCATGCTGTGGACCAGTATGGGGTTGTTTGTTGCGTGTTTCTTGCCATGGTTTCATAGATCTTGTTTGTGTCTACAGCGGTGACACACTGGGTAAGTGTAGAGGGGCAGATTGCTTCCATTTTCTGCTAATGATGATAAGTGCGACAATGATGATGTGGTAGGCAAGGTATCTCTGGTGTTTTTGAGGTGTGTATGGCAGCAGGAGGAGCAGAAAGGTTTCGGGCCGGTAGGGTAGTTGTATGTTAGTACATTTGGTGATTAAATCCGCTGCTTGTTGCCAGTACTGTTGGAGCTCAGAGCATTGCCACTAGATATGCATCATAGTGCCTCTGTCTTTTTGGCATCTCCAGCAGGTGTCGGACATGGTGGGGAAGCTGTGTTTAAGGCGTGTGGGGACTAGATACCATCTGTATAATATTTTCCAGGTTAGTTCCAGGTGAGTCGTGCAGAGTCAATTGTTTATGTGCCTTGATGATGATTTGCCATTGGGCCTCTGAGAGTTGGCCTCCAATGTCTCTTTCCCACGCTGATATAAAGGAGGGGAGGTTTTGTTGGGGTTGTGTGTGTTCCGATGTGTAAATCGTGGAGATGAGTTTTTTGGTCGGTTTGTTCGTTATGCATATTTGTTCTATGGTTTGCCAGCGTGGGTCAGATTTAGTAGGGGGTTTTGGTTTCAGTTGTTGGGCGAACCAGGATTGTAGTTGCATGTAGGAGAACTTAGCTGTCGTGGGCAGTTCAAACTCCTGTCTCAGGTCCGAGAATTTCTTCAGGTGGGGGCCGTGCGTTAGTTTTGATATCGTTTTTATTCCGTGCCTGTGCCAGAGTTTGTAGTTGAAATCAGGTATGAGAAGTTTTAGTGATTCCAGTGGGAGGGCTGGGGAGGTGTGGTTGTTGTTACCTATACGTTTTCGGTAGTTGTCCCATATGGAGAGGATGAGCGTGGTTGTGGGCAACACTTCGGCGTTTCTTGGTGTTTGGGATTTCGGCAGCCAGGCCAATGCTGATATGGGTATGCCGTTTGCGTAGCTCTTTTCTATTTTGGCCCATGCCATCATTTCTCGTTGGTGTGATGCTGCTAATAGGGGTGCTATATGGGCTGCTCTGTAGTAGCCTGTTATGTCTGGCATGCCCATCCCGCCCTGGGTGAACGACTGGTGCATTGTGGATTTCTCTACTCGTGTTTTTTTGTCATCCCATACATAGTCGCTTAAGAGATTTTGCAAGTCGCGGATGTATTTGTGCTGGAGTCGTAACGTGAGCGTACGAAAGAGGTATTGGATCTTTGGAAGAGCCATCATTTTCACAGAAGCTATTCGGCCTGCCCATGAGATGAACGTCCATTTCCACCCTTGTATGAGTGTTTGGATTTCACTAAGTAATTTGAGAAAGTTTGCTTTGAATAGTGTGTTGGGTGTGGGTGTGAAGTTGACCCCTAAAAACTTTATGTGGTCCTGCCTCCAATCGTATATGAAGTTGGTTTTGAGTTGTTCCATATTATGTGCAGGAACATTGATTCCAGTAACTGTAATATTGATGACAGAATGGTGTGGAATTGGGTGCAGGGCACATGAAGGCTGGCGGACAAGGCAAGAATAGGCAGGTATCATAGCAGACACTTTACCATGGGATGGTACCAGATCATTTATCATTACACAACAGGCTGTAGTGGTTATAGTACTTGGAATGTTCAAAAACAAGGCTAGTCCTTCCTCTAATGCTGTTTGGCAGTATTAGATAGTGCCAGGGACTCTGCACATTTGCTGTGACATTTTGTGAATAGGCAGTGCTTTAGATACCAGAACTGTGTAAAAGTAATGACACACCTGAGGTGTTAACGGAAGATAACTGAGTCAAGGTTTGTTTCCACATCCCCTCACCATTCTCGAAGGCTAGTGACGCAAAGTTATTTTATTAGGTTCTACAGATCCGACACAGAATAAAGAGCCTTATGAACAAACACCAACTACAAGTCTACACATGCACATGCAAAGATAAGATGCAAGTAAACACTGGTTTTAGGTGAAATTAACCCTGATCTGCTGTCTGGACCTCATCTTCTTCTAAGAATAAGAAGTTGACCACTGGTTCTTTCTCGTGTTACAAGTGACTTGATATGCTGCCATGAGTTTGATGTAACGGTAAAGTACATGAGTATTAAATTTACTATTGGCAACTTGCTGAGATTCTCAACACAGCTATAGAGTGTCCGGTTGGATCCAGACATGACCAGGGTGGGCAGCTGGCTTAGTAATGCCGTATGAGTCTAGGGGCAACCACAGATAGTGCCAACTCGAATCAATACTGTAGTATCTTATGTAATAACATAAATGCTTCATAAAATCTACAGCTGGTGACTCTGCAGAGGAAAATAGAGACACGATGATAAAGACAAGAAGTGTACTAAATGCAGAATAAATGCAATCATTATATTTATTTATTTATATATTGTAGCTGCCTATTCAGAAAAGAGCAAGGCCTATTGGACCACAGAACTGACTATCTTAAGATACTGAAGGCTGTCTTTATGACTTTGGACTAAAGTGAGCGATGATTAGAATTTCAAAAGCTGCAGCAAAAAATGGGCCAAGCTTCCACAAGAAAATAAGCCAATAAAGCATAGAATTAGCATTTTTTCACCCGGAGGGGAATAGTCTTTTTAAAAATTTTTTTTTTTAAATGTTTTTATTTTTTTTATCATGTGATGAAATCCATTAACGTTATTTATCCAGCTACACAAACACAACAGGGAGGTCTATCCAAGACACTACATTTGCACAAAGCCCAGGAGGCAGGTGAGAGACAACAAGGAATGGTTCGAGGGGTGAGGACCACAGGAGACAGAGGGAGCTGGGTAGGAAGATTGGGGGAGAGAGGATGTTTCAAGGGATGGGGGCTGCTGTGAAAGTAGATCAGATAGACCTAATTAAAAAATAAAAGCATCGCTTTAGAAGAGTGTTCTCGTAAAATAGAGGTATTTGGGGCAGAGGGACAAAAATGTTCAGAATAAAGGAATGCAGGGAATAAGATTTTTAAAAAGGAAGGGGGGACTTAGGCTGGTATCACCTAGCTACAGGTATGCAGAGAGACATAATTCTGATGTGCTCTGAAAATGGAGAAAAAAAAAATGTACGATGAATTAAAAAACAGAGTCCTTAAGGTACCCTAGATCAAAGATGAACCTTGGCACTCCAGATGTTTGTGAACTACATTTACTATGACGTGGAAACTGCTGAAATATTTGCGGGTTTCAAAAAGAATGATTAGAGAAATGGCAGAGGAATATTGTAAGAAAATAATGGGAAGAGAAATAGTGAGAATTGCCGGGGAAAGAAAAATTAATTAACGTGTAGAAAAGTGGAGGAAATGGAATGAGCGAGCGTAACGAGGCAAGTGATGTGAGGGGCGAGGAATGGATCTGAGAATAAAAGATAAATTTAGAAATAAGGGCAGAGAGGGGCGGGAGGAAGGGAGAGCAAAAGAGAAGAGAGAATGAAGAAATGAGAAAATACAAAGTGACAGACACATAAAACAAAGGAGAGAACGGCAGAGACAAAACAACAGAGGGACAAGACGGGGGTAGGGCTTTTTGTCTTCCCCCCTTCCCAAGCTTCCCAGCCAAACTTTTTCAGCTGGCTTCAGTATTTCAGGGGGGCAGATGGAAGGCCCCCAATCTCCAATAGGGAGGGAGGAGTTTTGACCAAACCAGCTCCAATTTCAACAAGTGATCCTTTCCACAGAAGGAGAAAGACCTACTGACAGCTATTTAGAGAAATAATTACATTCAATCTTGGAAGGTTTTTATTATTATTGTTATTTTTTTTTTCCATTTTAGGACCACTGACTTCCCATCAGAGAATTTCCCAGGGAACATAAAAAGATGGGGAGAGGGGTACGTATTTATTGTACATTCATACAGGTCTTCTTGTGTGCTCACTTGACTGTGTGTATATTTTTTATTAGGCAGTACAGTGCCGCAGAACATGTTGGTGCCTTGCGGTATAAATATTTTAATGAGTACATTTATCAGTGAACTTATGTGCACACATTATACCATTGAGACTTTGTCCTGGAGGATCTTAATGCTGGGGTTAGATACATGAATAGCTAGAAATGGCACTATCACAATTTAGATGATCTTGGTGAATTTCATGCAGGTGTTACGTTGTTATTTGTTGTGATATAGACAAATACTGTATATGTGTTAAGTATTTTGTTTTTATTAATTATAATACAATTATAGTAGCACTGTTTATATATCCTAAGTAGAATGAGGTCGCTCATCCCATGAATTAAACATCTTAGAAATTGTGTAGAAATTGAACGCACCAGAGTAGTTGTAAGTTGTCTTACAATGTATTGAGATAATTGCATGCTGTGATACAGTAGTATTTAGTGACATGGAAAATACATATTAACAGAAAATTAATGACTCTCTTTAACCCCTTGAGGACCAAACTTCTGGAATAAAAGGGAATCATGACATGCCACACATGTCATGTGTCCTTAAGGGGTTAAAGTTTAGTTGCTGATTACTATGACTATAGATCATTGTATATGTGGATCACCTAGAGATCATTGTATGTGGATCACATAAAGATCAGTGTGTGTGGATCACATAGAGATCATGGTATGTGGATCACCTAGAGATCATTGTATGTGGATCACATAAAGATCATTGTATGTGGATCACATAGAGACCATAGTATCTGGATCACCTAGAGATCATTGTATGTGGATCACATAAAGATAATTTTATGTATGGATCACCTAGAGATCATTGTACGTGGGTAACCTAGAGATCATTGTATGTGGATCCCCCAGAGATCATTGTATGTGGATCCCCCAGAGATCATTGTATGTGGATCACCTAGAGATCATTGTACGTGGGTTACCTAGAGATCATTGAATGTGGATCCCCCAAAGATCATTGTATGTGGATCACCTAGAGATTATTGAACGTGGGTAACCCAGAGATTATTGAACGTGGGTAACCCAGAGATCATTGTATGTGGATCACCTAGAGATCATTGTATGTGTGGATCACCTAGAGATCATTGTATGTGGATCCCCCAGAGATCATTGTATGTGTGGATCACTGAGAGATCTCTGTGTACATGTGGATGACCTGGAGATCACAGTTATATGTGGATCACCTGGAGATCATTGTACGTGGGTAACCTAGAGATCATTGTATGTGGATCCCCCAGAGATCATTGTATGTGTGGATCCCCAGAGATCATTGTATGTGGATCACCTAGAGATCATTGTATGTGGATCACATAGAGATTGTGGTATGTGGATCACCTAGAGATCATTGTATGTGGATCACATAAAAATCATGGTATGTAGATAACATAAAGATCATTGTATGTGGATCACATAGAGATCATGGTATGTGTGGATCGCCTAGAGATCATGGTATGTGGGTAACCTAGAAATCATTGTATGTGGATCCCCCAGAGATCATGGTATGTGGATCACATAAAGATCATTGTATGTAGATCACCTAGAGATCATTGTACGTGGGTAACCTAGAGATTATTGTATGTGTGGATCCCCAGAGATCATTGCATGTGGATCCCCCAGAGATAATTGTATGTGTGGATCCCCCAGAGATCATTGTATGTGGATCACCTAGAGATCATTGTATGTGGATCCCCCACAGATCATTGTATGTGTGGATCACTGAGAGATCTCTGTGTACATGTGGATGACCTGGAGATCACAGTTATATGTGGATCACCTGGAGTTCTCTGTGTGCATGGATTACCTAGAGATCAATGTGGATAATCCATCTGGAGATCATATTGTGTGCATGAATTACCTGGGGATCACTGTGTCTAGATCACCTGGAGATCACTGCGTTGTCACCTGAATATATCTGTGTATGTGTGGATATCCTAGATCACTATGTGCAAATCACCCGGAGTTCACTAAGTGAATATTACTTAGATATAATTGTATGTGTGGATCACCTAGAGATCATTGTATGCGGATTACCTATAGATCATTGTATGTGTGGATCACCTAGAGATCATTGTATGTGGATTACCTAGAGATCATTGTATGTGTGAATCACCTAGAGATCATTGTATATGGATCACATAAAGATCATGGTATGTGGATCACCTAGAGATCTCTACATTGTATGTGTATCACCTAGAGATCATTGTTTATGGATCACCTAGAGATCACTGTATGTGGATCACCTAGAGATCATTGTATGTGGATCACATAAAAATCATGGTATGTGGATCAGATAAAGATCATTGTATGTGGATCACATAAAGATCATTGTATGTGGATCACATAGAGATCATGGTATGTGTGGATCACCTAGAGATCATGGTATGTGGATCACCTAGAGATCTCTACATTGTATGTGTATCACCTAGAGATCATTGTTTATGGATCACCTAGAGATCACTGTATGTGGATCACCTAGAGATCATTGTATGTGGATCACCTAGAGATCATTGTATGTGGATCACATAAAAATCATGGTATGTGGATCACATAAAGATCATTGTATGTGGATCACATAAAGATCATTGTATGTGGATCACATAGAGATCATGGTATGTGTGGATCACCTAGAGATCATGGTATGTGGATCACCTAGAGATCATTGTATGTGGATCACATAAAGATAATTTTATGTGTGGATCACCTAGAGATCACATAGTGTGCATAACTATGCATATATGGATCACCAGGATATCACAATGTATGTGTGAATAACCTAGAGTTAATAACCTGGAATAACCTCCAGTGGAGATCACTGTGTCTAGATAACCTGGAAATCTTTGTGTATGTGTGGATATCCCTGTGATCACCATGTGCAAGAAACACTCAGCAATAAGTGATTTACACACACCTGGTGATCACTTTGTGTATGAATGACCTGGAGGTCAATGTGTGTGGATTACTTGCAGACCACTATGCGTGAGGACATTGCTGTGTGTATGTGTCACGTCTAGATCAGTGCAAGTGTGGATTATCTGGGGATCCCTGATCCGGAGTATGTATGGATGACATTGAGATCACTAGGTTTGTGTGTGTGTGGATGACCAGGAAATCAATATGAGGATCACTTGGAGATGTGTGAACAAGCTGCAGATCCGTATGTCTATGGATTACCTGGGTGCCCCACCTGTATTAATTACCTAGAGATTATGTTGTGTATGGACCACCATCTGAAAATCCCTGTGTATATGGATCACCTAAAGATACCATCTCCATCTGGAGGTCACCATGGGAAAGTCTCCCCTGGTGATCACAGTATGGATCACCTAGAGCTCAGAGCACATGGGCCTTAGGGGTATCACTTGTGTGCATACATTACCTGGAGATCAATGAATGTGGATCACAAGGAGGTCAGTGGTTGTGTATGGATCACACGGAGATCACGGATTGTATGAAAGACCTAGGATGTTACTATATGTGGATCAAGCAATAATAACTATGTGCATGGACCACCACTTAGAGATAAATGTTCATATGGATTAGATGAGAGCAATGTATGTGTGGATTGAGTTATATGAGATCACTGTGTGTGTCATCAGGAGATGTATGTATGGACCTCTTGGGTAACACTGTGTTTTCATACGAATCACCTAAACCTGTAGATCACTATGTAAAAGGATCACCTGGAAAGCCCTATATTTATATCACTGGAAGATCCTTGTCTATAGGTATCACCTAAAGCCTATGTTAGCATTATTGACATAGCATTCCCTATTGGATATATGTCAGTCAGAGATCAGATGGAGATCCCTGTGGTTATAGATCAGATGGAGATCTCTGTGAATATAGATCAGATGGAGATCACTGAGGTTCAAGATCAGATGGAGATCACTGTGGGTATAGATCACATGGAGATCACTGAGGTTCTAGATCAGATGGAGATCACTGTGGGTATATATCAGATGGAGATCCTGGTGGTTATAGATCAGATGAAGATCACTGTGGGTATAGATCAATTTGATATCCTGATGGATACAGATCAGATGAAGGTCCCTATAGGCACAGATCAGATGGAGATCTCTGTGGGTATAGATCAGATAGAGATATCTGTGGGTATAGATCAGATGGATATTCCTGAGATTATAGATTAGACGGAGATCCCTGTGGTTACAGATCAGATAGAGAACTCGTGGGTATAGATCAGATGGAGATCATGGTGGGTAAAGAGCAGATGGGGTTTCCTGTGGTTATAGATTAGACACAGATTCCTGTGGGTATAGATCAGAAGAAGATCAGATGGAGTTTCCTGTGGTTATAGATCAAATGGAGACCACTGTGGGTATAGATCATATGGATTTTCCTGCGGGTATAGATCAGATGGCATTCCTTGTGGCTATATATCAAATGCATTTCCCTGTGGGTATAGATCAGATAGAGGTTCCTGTGGGTATAGATCAGGTGGACATCCTGGTGGGTACAGAACCAATGGAGATCCTGGTGGGTACAGATTAGACAAATTTCCATGGGATTATAGAGTAGATGGAAATCCCTGTGGATATAGATCAGATGAAGATCCCTGTACATATGTATTAATTTCCAGAACACCGCTCTAAATAAAACGTGGGCATCTTTTTCCCAAAAAGAGATTAATTATAGTGGTTTTTTTTGTGGTAACTGGACCAAAATGTACTCATTTTCATATTGTCATCCTTTTAAAATGCACTGATTAGCCATATTATTTAGATTTTGTCATAGCACTGGCAGATTCACCATGATTTCCTGGACATATATCACATGTTGATGGATGGCACTGCCAAACAGTAAGCAGAACTCACACGCTGCAATACGTCCTCTAACCTATCTAAGAGGAAGCCCAAAGCAACTGCTTTCTTTAGACAAATGCTGAGTACATCTGCTATAAAGTACAGGGCAGAACTATCCAAGTATTTCCCAACTAGACACTTGTCCGGGAACACATTATGGATCTGGTATACCTATTGTAGGGTGGAGGTGCAATTCCAAATGAATGGCCAGCCTTGTGTCTTTCCAAAGGCGACCTTGAAGACATAAATTCATGTTACTGTTCATAAAGCACTCTTGACTCCGTTTAGGAAATATAAACAGTTGTTTCTGCAAGCCATTTGTTTATGTAATTAGGCCGCACCTGCTATTGAAAGGCAATCCAGTGATTCCTTCCTAACAAAAGCAAGAAGTTACTGAACGCAAGTGATGCGTAAAGAAAACAAGTAAAATAGAACAGCTTCTCTAATGATATAAACAATATGTTAAAACATTTAAGGGTGGTTGGAAAACACACTATTTCACTGTAGTTTTCTTTTAGAACAAAAGGTTAGCTAGGTTTTTCACACTTCCTAAACCCAAGAGATCTGGCCAATTGGAATCCTGGTGAAAATCTTAAGCGGACGTCCGCTTTTGTCCGGGTGGAATGAATGCTTTATTTGCACGGATGACCTATGATCTCTGGATGATAAATAGAGATTAGGGTCAAGCTTCTCAAGGAATTTATTCTCTGGGGTTCAACAGTGCAACCTTTTCCATCTCTCCCGTCTTCTTGAATATAAATGTTTCGAGGGTGTTTATAGAGAGCTAGCTTAGTGTGGTTTAGATATTTCTTTTAGAGGGACACTCTAAGCACCATACCGGTCTATGTTCCTAACACCACACAAAAAGCTTGCTTGAAGGGTCATTTATTAAACTTGGAATTGTAGCAAATTGAAATTTGAATGGCAAAGTTAAAGGAACACTACATGTTATATGTTAAACTGTATTCCTAACACTACAGTGTCCCTCTGCCTCTGCTACCAACCCTCCAAGCTACCCCCGGCCTGAAAGGCTTAAAAACCTTTTAATTAACGTACCTGATTCCAGCGTCAATGTCACTCGGTGCTGGATTCGGCTCTGACATGCGATGTCAGCCAGATGAGGCCTTCCACATAGGAAAGCATTGACTAATCGCTTTCCTATGTTTTTTTTTCCCAACAGGCTCATGCAAAGGGCGAGGGCATCCTGCGTTGTTTCGTAGAGTTAAACTCTATAAAACTGTAGGAAGCTCCTCTAGTGGCTGTCTGGTAGACCACCACCAAAGGCAGTCTTAACCTTGAAATGTTTCTCTAAAACTGCTTTACATTACAGAGTTAAGGCAATAGGGACACTGCACCCAGACCACTGCAATGAGATGAAATGGCCAGGGTGCCTATAGTGTCTCTTTAAGGCTATAATAATTGATCTGGAAAAGTTCTCCAACATAGGACCACTACCTCTTTAGTTTTGTATAAAGGTGTTACCATTATATAAAAACATTGGTATGATGGCATGACCCGCTGTAAATATTCAAATGTATATAGAATATAGAATGCACACTATAACAATCTAAAAAAAAACTTAGCTTTATTATGTACAAAAAAGTACCAGAGTGAAAACATATAAGAAAAAATAAACAAAGTGACATAAGCAAGGGCAAATACAATAAAATAATAATAAATTACCACAAAAATTCTTACAAGCCTCAAGACAGACACAAGAGTCACCAAACCCCCCAATGTTTCGGCACCAACTGGCTGCCTTTATCAAGGGTACTTTTTTGTACATTATAAAGCTAAGTTTTTTTGAGATTGTTATAGTGTGCATTCTATATTCTATATACATTTGAATATTTAAAGCACTTGAGGGAGTGTATATGGTTTGCACCTGGCTGTTCTTATACTATTTTGTCTCTCCATGTGCTATTGTTATGACCCGCTGTAAATACACCTCTCCGAGGTGTGTGTCATAAATTAGACTTATCAAGAATGGTAAAGTAGAACATTGTTGCGTTTTTGCATGCTGAACCAACGTTTTAACTTTTTTGCCATCAAGTTATCATTTAGCAACAACAGGAGAGCAGGCACAGGTTATTGCCTTCTGCTGGGGAAGTGAGGAATTTTCACAGTAGTGTTTAAATCAGGCCACTACACTGCTCTAGGCAAGCTATCTGCCAGCGTTTTAACACGTCTTTAATTACGATTGCTATACAGATTATCATGTTATGTTTTGAAAAATATTTTGCACAGGGATTAAAACGATTACTTCTACATGAGATGTTACTAAATTGAGCACAGTTTAAAGATAGAATAAATTATTTGGATTAGTCTAAAGAAATGCAGGGTGATAAAACTTAAAGTGATAGTACAGGATACAGGACACCCTTTTAAATATAACATATACCCAGCATGCCCTTTGAATGTATAAAACTCTGTATCTTCTTATTTAACTTAATCAGTAATATTATAATTTAAAAACACAAAGGGAGATTGGGTGTTGTGCATTTAGCTCAGTTTGAGAGCAATCTGGATTAAATGTTACAATCAGGACAATAACTATTGGCTGAGAGTGTGTGCTCCTGGTAGTCAAACTGTGCTAAGGCTACTTGACATCTTATGATGGCACGGAACCAGGGCTGTAGTAGTTAGGGTGCTTGGAGTGCCTCTTTTAACCTCTTAAAGACCAAGCTTCTGGAATAAAATGGAATCATGACATGTCACACATGTCATGTGTCCTTAAGGGGTTAAAGTGAGTCATCAGATATTTGGCCACTTGTGAATAGCTACATAGCAAACGTGAGATTTGGTGAATTTCAACGGCTAACTTAATGGCAGCCCATTGTTCATTAAAATATAGCTGAAATTACCAAATTTGCCCTTTGTAAATTGCCAAATGGGTTTGACCTAGTAAACGTTCAGCTAAAACAGTTAAATGAGGACAACAAGATTCAATTTGGAACTTAGTGAACAGACCTCTATGTTTAGAGACCCTCAGCCTTTTGTTTGCCTGTGTGTTGGAGAAGTGAGCTAAAACAGGGGTGCCCAAAAGGTTGACCCCAGATGTTTTAAACTGCAACTACCATGATGCTTTGTCATTCTAAAGGCATGCAAAGCAACATGCGAGTTGTAGTTCTACAACATCTGGAGATCTACCTTTTGGGCAGCCCTGGGCTAAAACATATTTTCACAGATGTTGCTTTGTATAGGGTATGTTTGTAGAAAGTTGCGTTGGGGACATGTTAAATCATCCTGTTACAAAGCTTCATTGAATTATTTTATATTTATCAGGATGGACGGGAGTATTCGCCAGCAGCCACCAACGCGGACAATGGTGGGGGCAAGAAGAAGCAGAAAGAGAAGGAAATGGACGAGTTGAAGAAAGAAGTGACGATGGTTGGTATAACCTGCGAAATCACAGCATTGATCTGTTTACCTTGTTCTCTGATACGATCATTACTATAGTGTGGCTACTGTGTAAAAAAAATTAAAAACAAAAATGAAACATTAAACGGTTGATTAGCTACCCTCTTGGTTAGTTATGGGAAGCAGAGGATACATTTTTCTGTATAATGGATCTTGTAAGAGATGTACTTTTTCGAGACTGCCTGCAAACACTTTGTCTAGAAGAGCTTGAGAGCTAAGGTTGTAAAAGTCCAAGTCGGGTTTTTTATTTATTTTCTCTGTTAAGTAGTCTGACTACACTCTACAGTTAGATTGTATTGTTCACAATATCGGACAGAGAATATATGTCAACCCTGACAATATATACTATAACAGTACAATGAATCACAAGGAATCTTGTACAATATAAAGAAAGATTTAGCAAAACGCTTGCAAAATGCATTTGTCTGAGCTAAAAGCGTTCTGGGCATGCATGCACGCACACACAAATGTGGCATACACGCAAACATGCACTTTTTTAATGCATTTTTTTTTCAAATAACAGAATTTCTGTTAAAAATAAAAAAACTATTTCCTGATTTACATTATATTGTAACCAGTTGCCTATTCTAATAACGCTTTCCAGATTTTGAATGTTTGTTTTAGGGACCGTTTATTAGAGTTGATAACTGCGTTTAGTATGACATTTATTTTCTACCCCGTTCTTGTAAACTAATTCAAATATTAAAGGACCACTAAAGTCACCCAGACCACTTAATCTCAATGAAGTGGTTAGGGTGCAGTGGTCCTGTATGTTTAACCCTTGACGGTAAAACACTGCTGTTTTGCAGAAAGAGCAATATTTATCTTAAAGGGTTAAACATCCCTCTAGTGACAGCTACCAGACTCGCTTAAGCTGCACTGACCAATAAAACTCATAGGAAACTATTTACCTCCTACAAGAAGCATTGGATGTATAAGCGGCAATTGACCATACATGCGCGTTATGTCCCAAATTATCCTCTATTTATTTCATTCATTTTATTGGAAAAGGGGTTGGGGGGACATGTATACACCTCACAAACCGTTTTACCCCAAAGTTTTGCTCCAGCACAGTACCGCCCTACCCTCTGTCCTTCCACTTTTTACAATTTTTCATAATAGAAGGTTTTGGCATCATCGGGCAGGAGCATGGCTAATTGTCTCAGAGCAGTCAGATCCTCTAAGCCACTCGGTAGCTCCCCATTCATAAAAAAACTGTTTGAAAAGGTTAACTTTCTTTTTCGAGCTGTTTTTAAGAATGGAGGGCTCCTGAGTGGCTTAGAGCGTCAGCTGGCCAGTCTAAGCCAAACAGCAGCACATCTGCCTTCCTTTATGGAGCACAGAGTTTAGGGTTAATTTTAATTTTGACTTAATTTTGATATAGCTGTTATGGAGCCCAAATGGTTTCTTTATTCAGAAATTCTACATGGAGAAATATAGATTTAAAAATATTATTTTTTATACATTATTTAAATCAGGCTTTTTTTCCCTATAACTTAATCTGTTGATTTAAGCATGTACATCTACAACACGTTTGTCTGTCATAGATACATTTATTTATTTGTGCTATTTTTATTATGAATTTAAATAGCACTACAAATCCACAGTAAAAATGCTCCTGTTTATTCATAGAACTTCAGTTACTGGCAGCATAACGGATTGTGGCAAACCTGGAACTCATTATTTATTTATTTTTGTTTTGACAGGAAGATCATAAATTAACTTTGGAAGAAGTGGCTCGAAAATATGGAACTGATCTGGTGAAGGTATGGTGAAGCAATTTTAAGAAATGCATTTCTATCATCTTCTCTACTACATTCTGAGAGAATTATTGCATTAGCTTTATCAAATACATATTGCTTACTTTTTTTATTTATAATTTAAATATGCCATATTTTTGTTTTTGTCTTGTAAATTTTGGGGCTATATAAACTGCTTGTAATGTATGATATAACAGAATTCTATTTACATAGAAACATAGAATGTGACGGCAGATAAGAACCATTTGGCCCATCTAGTCTGCCCAATTTTCTAAATACTTTCATTACTCCCTGGCCTTATCTTATAGTTAGGATAACCTTATCCACTACCCTCTCAGTAAAGTAATACTTCCTGATATTATTTTTAAACCTTTGTCCCTCTAATTTAAGACTGTGTCCTCTTGTTGTGGTAGTTTTTCTTCTTTTAAATATAGTCTCCTCCTTTACTGTGTTGATTCCCTTTATATATTTAAATGTTTCTATCATATCCCCCCTGTCTCGTCTTTCCTCCAAGCTATACAATTTATATCTTTCATTTCATCTATCCAGTGTGCTAGCCAAATGGCTCAATAAATACATTTAAAAAAAAAAAAAAGAAATAGAAAATTACAAAAATAAATTGTTAGAAATTGTTTCAGGTGAATCCAACATGACTCTACATCACGTTCAGAATGCCCCTAATCGTTCCTAAAATGCATAGCTTTTGGGACAAGTTTGAGAGCATACAATAATAATGTGAATTACGACCATGCAATTAGCTGGTCTTCCAGTGTCTGAATGAATTAGTAATTGATGAATTAGTAATCATACAACACAATCCATTTTGCTTTAAGGGTGTCTCATCCTGGTGGCACCAGCATCAGTATGTATCGGAATGCTTAATCATCTCATTACAAGGTTGGTTGGAATTCTCTCTCGTTAAATAGGGTTTGACAAACGCTCGCGCAGCAGAGGTATTGGCCCAAGATGGACCCAATGCCCTAACACCACCTCCAACCACTCCAGAGTGGGTGAAGTTTTGCCGCCAGTTGTTTGGTGGCTTTTCCATTCTCCTATGGATTGGTGCAATCCTCTGCTTCCTGGCGTATGGAATTCAAATTGCAATGGAGGATGAACCTATTAATGACAATGTAAGTATAAGGCTTATCCAAGGTATATCTTATATAACTCTGTAATTCCAGATTGGCGAAGATAATTCTATCATTCTGAGACATTCTAGATATGGAGACAAACTCATAACTACTCATATTCCTTCCTGAGTCCTTCTCACATCAAGAAACCCTTTGGGTATTCAGACCAACTGTGGTAATTCTACTACTACGTAAATCTTCTAGACGTAAAGCCAAACTCCAATGATTCTACTATCCATATAAGGCTTTAGACCAAGATATGATTGCGCAAATATTGGCAAAATCCAGTTCCTGGTTTGTGTTAGGACGGCTCAAACCTGCCCTTCACATGTAATGATGTTACTATCATCACGCACAACAAGAACATAATGTCATCACGAAACGTAGACATTTTTTAAATTATTCTCACATCCAGTAAACCATAAATAGATAAACAAATCCTGGAAACTCTCACATCTAGAGTCATTCCAGGTACAGAGCAAAACTCTGATAGCACAAACTCCTAACTACTCCTTCCTGAGTCCTTCTAAATTAAGAGCCACTCTGACAGCACATCAAGAAACCCTTTGGGTATTGAGACCAACTGTGGTAACTCTACGAGTATGTAAATCTTCTAGACTTAAAGCCAAACTCCAATAATTCTTCTATCCAGATAAGGCTTTGGACCAAGATATGTAGTGTGACTGTGAAGTTCAAATTGAGATTTTTCTATCCTTTCAGTGGGGATGCCAAGATAGATATAAGAAATGAACAGCAGAGTAAAGATGTCGATGCGGTTTTATCTCTGTTACAAATGATCATGCATATTTTATCCACTGCCTATCGTGTCCTTACTACAATACCGTTTACTATGTTGTAGTTGTACCTCGGAGTGGTCTTGGCGGCTGTTGTCATTGTCACAGGATGTTTCTCTTATTATCAAGAAGCAAAAAGTTCAAAGATCATGGATTCTTTCAAAAACATGGTACCTCAGGTAGGTAATCCTTGGAGGGAGTTTTGTAGTAAAAAGTTCATAATAGATATAATTAGGAAATTGTTGTTAATGTACTTCCGGGACCAAACATTCATAGTAATTTAAAGGGGTAATAATGCATTATCCAGGAAACCTCTTTGGTGGTCCAGTGTCACATCGCACTGTGAGTAGTGTGACTAATATTTTTGCACCATGTCTGCAGCAAGCACTCGTCATCCGAGAAGAGGAAAAGATTCAAATCAACGCTGAGCATGTAGTGGTCGGTGACCTGGTGGAGATAAAGGGAGGAGACCGTGTACCTGCAGATATCAGAATTATCTCATCACATGGTTGCAAGGTAGGTACAATCATGTATCATTAATATGAGCATACAGAAACATGTACCAGCCTGTAAATCTCCAGTGTACGATGAACTACAACTAATATAATCAGCCTCTTGCTATAGGCCTTTGTAGTTCATCAGAATTTACTGACAGACTAAATGCTAGTATTGTAAAGGGAACTATTTATACACTGATCAGCCACCTGCCTAATACCATGTAGGTTCCCCTCGTGCTACCATATCAGCTCTGATGCGTTGAGGCATGGACTCCACAAGACCTCTGATGTGTCTTGTGGTATCTGGCACCAAGACATTAGCAGCAGTTCCTTTAAGTCCTGCAGGTTGCCAGACGGGGCCTCCATAGACTGGATATGTTGCTCCAGCACATCCCATTGATGCTCTGTCTGAGATCACATTAAGATCTGGGGAATTTGGAGTCCAAGGCAACACTTTTAACTGGTAATTTATGTTCCTCAAACCATTATTGAACAAGTTTTGCAGTGTGGCAGGGTACATTATCCTGCTACAAGAGGCCACTTCCATCAGGGAACACTATTCCCATGAAGGAGTGTATGTGATCTGCAACAATCTATAGGTAGGTGGTTCGTGTCAAAATAACTTCAACATTAATGACAGAACCCACCAAAGTTTCCAAGCAGAATATTTCCCAGAGCATAACTCTGCCTCTGCTATCCTTCATCCCATAGTGCATCCTGCTGCCATCTCTTCCCCAGGTAAACAATGCACATGCACCCAGTCATCCACGTGATCTAAAAGAAAATATGATTTATCAGACCAGGAAAACGTTAGTTCAGATACTCATTTACCCATTAAAGCCGCTTTCAGTAGTGGACAGAGGTTATCATGGTCACGATGACCTGTTACACCTCTCACACAAGGCAGCCCCTGAAAAAAAGCAAGTATTGACTTGAAGTATCTGACCCAATACCTCCCCGTTATTACTGCCACGTTTAATTTATACCTAACATGTACCTAACAACAACAATTGTGCTGTTTTTGTACAGGGAGTGCAGAATTATTAGGCAAATGAGTATTTTGACCACATCATCCTCTTTATGCATGTTGTCTTACTCCAAGCTGTATAGGCTCGAAAGCCTACTACCAATTAAGCATATTAGGTGATGTGCATCTCTGTAATGAGAAGGGGTGTGGTCTAATGACATCAACACCCTATATCAGGTGTGCATAATTATTAGGCAACTTCCTTTCCTTTGGCAAAATGGGTCAAAAGAAGGACTTGACAGGCTCAGAAAAGTCAAAAATAGTGAGATATCTTGCAGAGGGATGCAGCACTCTTAAAATTGCAAAGCTTCTGAAGCGTGATCATCGAACAATCAAGCGTTTCATTCAAAATAGTCAACAGGGTCGCAAGAAGCGTGTGGAAAAACCAAGGCGCAAAATAATTGCCCATGAACTGAGAAAAGTCAAGCGTGCAGCTGCCACGATGCCACTTGCCACTTGCAGTTTGGCCATATTTCAGAGCTGCAACATCACTGGAGTGCCAAAAAGCACAAGGTGTGCAATACTCAGAGACATGGCCAAGGTAAGAAAGGCTGAAAGACGACCACCACTGAACAAGACACACAAGCTGAAGCGTCAAGACTGGGCCAAGAAATATCTCAAGACTGATTTTTCTAAGGTTTTATGGACTGATGAAATGAGAGTGAGTCTTGATGGGCCAGATGGATGGGCCGTGGCTGGATTGGTAAAGGGCAGAGAGCTCCAGTCCGACTCAGACGCCAGCAAGGTGGAGGTGGAGTACTGGTTTGGGCTGGTATCATCAAAGATGAGCTTGTGGGGCCTTTTTGGGTTGAGGATGGAGTCAAACTCAACTCCCAGTCCTACTGCCAGTTCCTGGAAGACACCTTCTTCAAGCAGTGGTACAGGAAGAAGTCTGCATCCTTCAAGAAAAACATGATTTTCATGCAGGACAATGCTCCATCACACGCGTCCAAGTACTCCACAGCGTGGCTGGCAAGAAAGGGTATAAAGAAGAAAATCTAATGACATGGCCTCCTTGTTCACCTGATCTGAACCCCATTGAGAACCTGTGGTCCATCATCAAATGTGAGATTTACAAGGAGGGAAAACAGTACACCTCTCTGAACAGTGTCTGGGAGGCTGTGGTTGCTGCTGCACGCAATGTTGATGGTGAACAGATCAAAACACTGACAGAATCCATGGATGGCAGGCTTTTGAGTGTCCTTGCAAAGAAAAGTGGCTATATTGGTCACTGATTTGTTTTTGTTTTGTTTTTGAATGTCAAAAATGTATATTTGTGAATGTTGAGATGTTATATTGGTTTCACTGGTAATAATAAATAATTGAAATGGGTATATATTTGTTTTTTGTTAAGTTGCCTAATAATTATGCACAGTAATAGTCACCTGCACACACAGATATCCCCCTAACATAGCTATAACTAAAAACAAACTAAAAACTACTTCCAAAATATTCAGCTTTGATATTAATGAGTTTTTTGGGTTCATTGAGAACATGGTTGTTGTTCAATAATAAAATTAATCCTCAAAAATACAACTTGCCTAATAATTCTGCACTCCCTGTATAGAATGACTTGATACTCCTAGCAAAGACTCCCGTTAACCCTTACATAAAAATGGGAACGCATGATCGTGAATTAAAATGTCCTATACATAGCTGTGGAACACAATGGCGATCTGTGGTTAACAAGCCTGAACACCACAGACAATACCACTTTGAGGGTCAACACCGTACGGAGACACTTCAGTTAATCAGCTTGTTTATTTGCTCAGAACCTAGCTCTTATTGCACACTTAATTTTAGAATCAGTGAACGCCGCATACCTACCCATATGCTCATCATAATGACGGTTAATGCCAGTTGGTGTCAGTTAGTGTTAGTTAGCTCAGCTAGCTTTGCACATATACTCCAGAGGATGCTAGGTGACTCTTCGCTGACCTACAAATATACACCTCAGTTATGCAGGGCACTAACATAGTCCTGAGAGTGCTCTAACTACCCAAGCTTGACCTATCTACATAACATACATGCCTGTAATCTATCCCATCTTGTGAATAATGTCTAGTAAGTGTAATGAGTTCGAACACATGATGCTTAGAATGTTCAACGACTCTAATGGCATAATGTTTAGTTTCAACCTGTAACATGTTTGTTAGTTTAAGCTTATTAATAATACAAAAATGTGCAATGTCTTACATGCCACTGTTCTTATTGAAATGTCAAAGTTTACGCTGTTGTGGCATAATTGAATCGATTTGTAAACACGTGCACAACATAATAAAGAATTTTTATTTTATTTTTTTTTAAAAGTTAGAAAAAGTGTGTTTTTAAAAAGATTTTCAACATATTTTACAATTTTTTTTTATAGTAAAATATATGATAGGAGGAAAATAATGGTATCTTTAGAAAGACCATTTAATGGCGAGAAAAACAGTATATAATATGTGTGGGTACAGTAAATGAGTAAGAGGAAAATTACAGCTAAACACAAACACCACAGAAATGTAAAAACAGCCCTGGTCTTTAACTGTAAGAAAATTGAAAAATGGTCTGGTCACTAAGGGGTTAAAAGTGATAACGAAATGCTGCATGTACAAAAACCACAACATTGTTATTTATTTGGCAGGTGGACAATTCCTCTTTGACTGGAGAGTCTGAACCACAAACCCGATCACCAGAATTCACTCATGAAAACCCACTGGAGACCAGAAATATCTCTTTCTTCTCCACCAACTGTGTAGAAGGTACACGCGTAGTGAAACAGTCACACCACAAAAATATACACAGACAAGACATAATCTTTAGCTATACTTACCTTGCTGAGAGAGATACTTACCTCACTAAGAGAGATACTTACCTGAGAGAGATACTTACCTTACTAAGAGACATACTTACCTTGCTAAGAGATATACTTACCTTGCTAAGAGAGATACTTACCTTACTAAGAGAGATTCTTAAAGAGATGGAAGTTTGGGACTGCATGTGTGTGATGGGAGTTATGTCAGTGTGGGGTGCTGCATATATACAACAAGAGGTGTACCTGGGACTGCATGTGTGCAGTGGAAGTTGAGCATTTTGAGGACAGCATGTTTTTGCAACAGCTTGTGTGTAATGGGAGTTCTTTTAGTGGTGGTGAGGATGTGATATAAGGTGTATGTGTGACTGCATGTGTGTAATGGGAGTTTTTTTAGTGGTGGTGGGGATGTGATATAAGGTGTATGTGTGACTGCATGTGTGTAATGGGAGTTCTTTTAGTGGTGGTGAGGATGTGATATAAGGTGTATGTGTGACTGCATGTGTGTAATGGGAGTTTTTTTAGTGGTGGTGGGGATGTGATATAAGGTGTATGTGTGACTGCATGTGTGTAATGGGAGTTGTTTCAGAGGGGTGAGTGATAGAAGGTGTGTGTGAGACTGAATGTGTATGATGAGAGTTGTGTCAGTGTAGGAAGCCTGTATGTAAGAGATTGGAGGCATGTGTGTGACTGCCTGTGTGTAATGGGAGTTCATACTAGTGGATGGAAATCATGGTCACTGCTCCCTCCGTTCCTGCAAGTTAACAATAGCAGAGCGAATGGTCAGTAATATAGAATTCTGACTTGCAACAAATCATCAATCACCAAGGAGCTCTTACTTTGATCTGTACCCAGTGGCGGAACACAAGTGAAAGGAGTAGGCTAGTTAGGGACCATACTTTGGTCTAGTCATATGGCTACATTGTCCCTGGACTTTAACAGTCCTAGAGGACTGGTTTAAAAGTAGATTGATTTTATGTCTCTAGTGGTCAGTGGTCATGGAAATCAAATCAGACAGGGTGTATCACATTAACTATTAAGGTTTAATTATGATGTTTTGTGATGATTTTGACCTCAAATATACAGACGGATGGGCAGGCATACATAGACCTCAACACACGTATAATGGCTGGAATGTCCGTCTCCTTATCCCCTTAGATATAATACAGTAACCATGGGTACACACACAGTCTGTCAATAGCTGATCAGGAGATATTTATGAAGCTTATGTTGGGGTGCTCAGACAATGCAGCTGAAGGGCATTGATAGCATAGATTCCCAGCATCTGTTTCATTCCAGGAATGTTTGTTTGTGCGCACAGTTTGGCGCTCCCTCTGTAGATAAGGATTAGAGAGCTTGTATCCTTCCAAAACTAACACTGGGTCAGGATTTCAAAACACACAGAGAGGATACTATTGTGGATGTGTGAACCCGCACAGAGGAATGAGGGTCTTTTGTATCCACTATGCTAAGTGGCCCAGTATGGGGCTTTTTAAAATTCAGCCCAATTCACAGGGAGAATGGCTGGATTTCAAAAGAAAAGTACATCAAAAGACGGGAGAGACAAAGAATAATGGTGTATTGTGCCAGTCAGTGATACTGACCAGCACAACCAATCTGAATAACTAAACAGGTAGAAAGAGTTACCAAAAAAAAAAAAAAAAATGTAAAAAATCAGCATTTAAAAAGAAAAAAAAATCTTTAATAACATACATCAAATACGTTGCCTCTGATAATATTTCCTCCTTATACTCTGCATCTTCTTCCTGATTGGCGACTTTGTTGATATGTTTGGAAATAATTTGTTGATGACTGGTGCAGGACTCAGGAAATGGGAAAACATGATAAAGCTTAGTTTTTCCTTTTTTTGAGAACCAGTCCACCTTAAGCTCATTGTCAGAAGTTACAATGTAATGTGATGTGATAGCCCACTGACTCTTTGTTTAGTGTAGACTAAAAACAACCCATGTTTCATTTCAATCCTGCAGGTACAGCCAAGGGTATTGTCATAGCCACCGGAGACCGCACAGTGATGGGTAGGATTGCCACTCTGGCTTCGGGTCTAGAAATGGGCCGCACACCTATTGCCATGGAGATAGAACACTTTATCCACATCATTACTGGAGTCGCTGTCTTCCTGGGGGTCTCCTTTTTCGTCCTGTCACTTATCCTAGGGTACTCTTGGCTGGAGGCAGTAATCTTCCTTATCGGAATCATTGTGGCTAATGTGCCAGAGGGTCTTCTGGCCACTGTGACAGTAAGTAATACTGGGTCCCCCCGAGTACTATAAATTCTACATACTTACCATGAAAATAATAGACTCTAGAACGGACTTGGTATAATCTCCAAGCAGTGGATTATAAATGTAAAAACAAGGGCAAATTCAGCATCAATGGGTAACTCATGGGGGCTTGGTTCCTAGAGAATTTATTTATTTCCGGTGTAATTAAGTTCAACGTAATTGTTACTGGTTCTAATAGGTGTTAATATAATGGTCTCGTTGTTACCATTTAGAGTGTGACAAGATGGTGAAAAATGTTGTAAACCCATATTTCTGATATCATCTTAATCTTCTTGTTTTTCACCAAAAGGTGTGCCTGACACTAACAGCTAAGAGGATGGCCCGTAAGAATTGCCTGGTTAAAAATCTGGAAGCCGTGGAGACCCTTGGATCGACCTCCACCATCTGTTCCGATAAAACAGGGACATTGACACAGAATCGAATGACTGTCGCACACATGTGGTTTGACAATCAGATTCATGAAGCAGATACCACAGAGGATCAGTCAGGTTTGGCCCGTTTCTCTCTAAAGGTTTCCTTAACCTCAAGCCATATGTATCACGATAATTCATACAGAATATTCATGTTTCAGGAAAAAAGTCCCCTTTTTTTTTTTAACAAACCTTGAAATCTGTAGGTAGTTATATTTTACAAGTGTTCTAAAAATGCTCATTAATTAAACAAATCATAGAATGTTCAGCCACCAAGAGATAGTGGTCACCCTCGTCAGGTTGAAACATTCAGATTAATTCTTAATAAACCATGGGAATACATTTCTTAAAGCCTGATAACTTGTTCATAATTGATCAATAAATTTATCAAAATCTAAACATTACAAATATGTTGTCCACCCAAGTAAAACCAAGTTTGAGAGTCAAATTACTAATTGATTTCGGTGAAGCACAGCATGAATTAAATGAATTCTGAAGAATGTCCTGCTTCCTAAATTGAATATCATGAGAGCTTCCATTGACAACAGCAGATTTAGATATTGAATTTTACTCAGCTGGGTGCCTTCTCCACCTACCAAACAACCAAGGACTATCAAAATTGGCAACCATGTTGTCGTCAGTGAATGATTTGACTTTGGTAGTCGACTCGAAAACCTAATGTAATTTAATTTGCAAGTAAACTCTAATTACATTTCTAATTGGCCTGCACATTGTCCTACAGTATGGTAGTGTCCTACCATAATAGGTGGTCATGTGACATTATTACAAAACAATTTACATTTATCCTGAAAGAGGAGAGACTCAGGATTGGATGTTCTATCAGCCTACCCTCATTTAACCCCTTAAGGACACAACTTCTAAAATAAAAAGGAATCATGACGGAATATTTCCGTCATGTGTCCTTAAGGGGCTAATACTACTGGAGCACTGAACCTCCATATAGACTCTATCCATTACTATTGTGTATGAAATTAAGAGAAATGCAACTGAGTTGGTTTTAACAAATAAATAAATTTAAAGCTGTTGACCAATATTACCAACGTGTACAGCAGTTGAAAGGAAATTCAACCTTTGGTAAAAAGATCACTTTATATTTAAATAATACATTTTAAAAAGTGTTTAACCCCTTAAGGACACATGCCATGTGTGACATTTCATGATTCCCATTTATTCCTGAAGTTTGGTCCTTAAGGGGTTAAAGGACTTAACAAGTCCAATATAATACATGCTCATGCTTTATATTAAATCTCAGATATAAAAGATTGTGTCTTCTACAAAAATCCAAAATGGATACTCAATTATTTTGTTAATATTTTTTTTTTTGTCACCAGATCTCAAACATCCACTTCATTTATTTTGTTTGTGTCCTTTTTCCATGTCTGTCTATAGGTGCCACCTTTGATAAACGTTCCCTGACCTGGACTGCCCTGTCCCGCATCGCTGGCCTCTGTAACCGCGCTGTATTCAAAGTTGGCCAAGAAAACACACCCATCTCAAAAGTGAGACAGTTCCTGTAGATTTCAACACACACATTCGTTCTTCTTTATGTAACTGTTGCTTACAAAATTGGACATATAGCAGCATGATTTACATTATTTGCCTTTTTATTATTTATTATATATACAAATGTGTACATTTAGCTAGTGTGTTTAAAATGAGTAGCAATAAATTAAATGAACACAACATCATAGTTACTACAGTTTGCTGTAGTGGTTATGGTGCCAAGGGGTTCTCTGACACCCCCAGCCATAATTTGTGAATGGCTGAATGTCTTACCTGGCGTTCCCTGCCTCCACTACCAGTACCAGGGATCACGACATTTCTAAGCAGGTACATCAGTTAGTTCTCCTTGGCTGGGAGTGATCCCTCCAGGGCTTAGTTCAGGAGAACTAAAGGAAGTTCCTGCTTGCCAACTTGCGACACACAGGCGTGGGAAAAAAACCCAAACTATTTGACTCCTTAAAATGGCAGGAGGAAGGGTGCCAGGGCACTCTTGACATAGCGTAACGACTACAATAAGCTACAGTGGTTATGGTGCTCAGAGTGTTCCTTTGAACACTATAGGCTTGTTTCAAACCATGTTACTAAGTATCTACTGTAAGCTATTATTTTCTATCGTTAGTGTTATTGACACTCAGTAGATAATAGCGACAACTAAATACTGACAAGATTCCAACTTTGTTGCAACCACTGGAAATGGACAGATGACTCACAACATGCAACTCCATAATGTAAACTCCATATTGTAAGCCCTTACCGCTATGCCAATGATTGTGCAGGAAAAATAAGTCAGAAAAACACATTGAAGATATATTTTAAGCTATAATCACACAAATAGTTTGGCCACCAAAGAGTCAAGATTAAATAGTAACCATGTAGTATATGACGTAAATGTTAATTGCAGTGAATCAGGATTCCAATGCCTTACTAGTTTTATAGCGATTAATACACATATCTTTTTTTAAGTGTTCCTGGACACCTAGGACCTTTTTCTCCATATAAATCTGTCAGCCTGTCTGAGAAGCATGCGGCCTGTTCCGTAAGGTTTGGCAAGCTTCCCTCATGTTGTGCAAAGATTCGAACTATTAGTGCTTAATGCAGCCCATGACCACCACCAAGAGTAGAGAATAAGTTACTCGCCAAAGCTGAATTTATAGTCATCAATGGCTGGTGGGCAAGTTGAAATTTTGATTGCTAATGTATGCATTGTCCGAGCAGAAGGACCAGTTAGAAAACACAGAATTTATATTCTCAAAATAAAGACACTGGAAGAAGGGCAATCAAGATGGAGAATCAGGAAAGGGTCCAATGGTACGTTACATAGTTACATAGATGTAAAGAGACTTGCGTCCATCAAGTTCAGCCTTCCTCACATATGTTTTTGCTGTTGATCTAAAAGAAGGCAAAAAACCCAGTTTGAAGCACTTCCAATTTTGCAACAAATTAGAAAAAAAATTCCTTCTTGACCCCAGAATGGCAGTCAGATTTATCCTTGGATCAAGCAGTTATTACCCTACATTGAAAGATTATATCCTTGAATATTCTGTTCTTGCAAGTATGCATCTAGTTGCTGTTTGAACATCTGTATGGACTCTGCTAAAACCACTTCTTCAGGCAGAGAATTCCACATTCTGATTGTTCTTACAGTAAAAAAAACCTTTCGTTTGCCTTAGACGAAATCTTCTTTTAGTCTCATTTTAGTTGTTAACAGGTGACTGTCAGACAGGTGTAAACATTGCAGTTTCTTAAAGACAAAAAAAACATGTTTTACATTGCAGGGTTGAAATGATAGGGCAACTGCACGCAGGTTATTTCATTGAGAGGAAGTGCTCTGGGTCACTTTAGAGGTCCATTAAGGCACAACAATAGCCCAGGTTTTGTCAGTACCCTCACTGGAACATAACTGGGAAATGTCTACATATTGCATTGTTGATGTGCCTTGGTACTGGGTTGAGAACCACTGGTCTATGGTACCAAGGGCTCTTGGTTTGGATCTGAATATATCAGTGTATATAAACCCTTCCGCTCTCACAATAGATTCATTATTGCCCTTTTAAAATGCAGAAAGGAACTGCAGGGGATGCCTCTGAGTCTGCCCTGCTCAAATGCATTGAGCTGTCTTGTGGATCTGTGAAGAAGATGAGAGACCGCAATCCCAAAGTGGCCGAAATCCCATTTAATTCTACAAACAAGTACCAGGTGAGCACCAAATCCTGATTATTATTTTTATTATTTTATTATTTATATAGCGCCAGCAAATTCCATAGCGCTGTACAATGGGTGGACTAACAGACATGTAATTATAACCAGACAACTGGATGTACAGGAACAGAGGGGTTGAGGGCCCTGATCAATGAGCTCATTTGCTAGAGGGAGTGGGGTAAAGTTACACAAAGGGTATAAGTAGGGGTAATGAAATAGGTTGCTAGTAAAGTAAATCACGGAGACCCAGAACAGTGAATAGCCAGTGTCCCTTTAAAATAAATACATTTAAATAAATAATTCTGGGGTGAAGTTCTAAAAGCGAAGTAGTCACCATGGAAACCAATAGAATGTTATTGCTGACTGATTCACTTTAAAACATTTTCTCCAGAATTGCTTTTTTCCTAGAACCCCACTAATTTTACAGTTTATAAACCTTTTCTAACCTTTTATAAACCCCACTAATCTTACAGTTTATAAACCTTTTCTAACCTTTTATAAACCCTACTAATTTGACGGATTATAAACCTTTTCTTTAAAGGTTTAGCCCAAGCACTATGACTACTTCAGTAATTTGAAGAGGTAATTTTATGTGCAAGTGTTTCACGAGACTATCATACCAAGGTTAACTCCCAGAGGTCTAAGTCCACCTCTGGCAGCATAATTGGCAGTCATTAGCTAGCCTGGAACAAAAGTTCAGAGTAGGCGAATATCAATTCTGTGCAAAGTTTGTATCTGCTGGCAGGGCCGCCATCAGGGGGTGACAACAATGACTGTTGTCACGGGCCCAGCGGCCCTGGGGGTTCCGGCTGCCCGGGCCCCATGTGTAGTGGCGGAACTGCCGCCGGTGCAGCTGCACCGGGGCCCGAACATTGATGGGGCCCATCGGGTGGCCCAAGCATTTTGGGCCACCCGGTGGACCCTATATCTTCAGGGGTCTGGTCAGCACTGCGGCCGTGTAATAGCATGACCGGGCCCCTTTAAAATGGCAGCAGAAAGTTGACGGCCGGGCACTTCCTCCCAGCTTACTCCGTGCGGGAAGGAGGAAGCAGACAGGAGGCCGCGAGGAGGGGAGAGACAGCCAACTCCCATCATCCCCAGCCACCCTCCTGCAATGAAACGCTAATGAACAGGAGGGTGGCTGAAAATGAGCTGTGCATGTGTATGTATGTATGTATAAATGTCAGTATGTATGTGAGGGAATGTGTGTCAGTATGTATGTGTGTGAATGAATGTCAGTATGTACGTATGTGTGTAAATGTATGTAGGTATGTCAGTATGTGTATGTATATGTATGCATATGTATGTATGTGTCTGTATGTAAGTATGTATGTGTCTGTATGTATGTATGTATGTATGTCAGCATGTGTATGTATATGTATGTTTGTGCCTGCATGTCAGTATGTATGTATACATCAGTATGTATGTCAGTGTGTGTGTATGTTAGTATGTATGCCAGTATGTATGTATGTTTGTCAGTATGTATGTATGTATGTATGTATGTCAGTATCTATGTATGTATGTAATTATGTATGTATGTATGTGTCTGTATGCCAGTATGTATGTCTGTATGTATGTGTGTGTGTCAGTATGTGTGTATGTCAGTATGTTTGTCAGTGTGTGTGTGTGTGTGTGTGTCTGTGTGTCAGTATGTATGTGTGTGTCTGTATCTCCTTATGTGTGTGTGTGTGTCTGTATGTACATTAGAATGTGTCTGTGTGTCTGTATATGTGTGTGTGTCTCAGTACGTGTGTGTCAGTATGCCTGTATGTATGTATGTCTGTTTAAGTATGTGTGTCTGTTAGTATGTGTGTTTAATTTTGTATCAGTGTGTGTGTCTGTGTTTGTATCTGTGCGTGTATTCCTGGGGGGCGGGCTTGGAGGTGGCACCAGGGTGCCCAGACCTTGAGCTGTGTTGGGGGCCCCAAATTTCTGATGGCCGCGCTGTCTGCTGGCACCTGACAGCCAGTGGCCGCACGCCCTAACCCACCTCCATGCTGTCACTATCTTTCCCTCAGGCCATCCCCACTGACCTCACTTTCCAGCAAGAGAGAACTTGGTCTCAGCAATGGAAAAGAGGTAAGTTTAGGTTTATTTATTTATTTTGCATTCGGGAGGCTGACCAACACAGAAAGAGTTACTCTAACCAATACCAGTGTTTTTGGTTGAAGTAACCCTTTAAAATAAAGCAATCTAAGGTATTGGCTACTTGAGTTTACATATTTAAGTTTTGATACAAAATTGTTAAAAACATTAATTATCAATACATTATAAATAGAATTTTACAATATTATCCTGCATTTTGTCTTAGTGTGCAGAATTGTACTGGTCATTAGCAGATCGTCTTCCTCTCATAATGATCCTTAACATCAGAGACAAAGGGATTCATTTTTCCAGCCTGAAATTATGGAAAATTGACAAGAGAACCTTTTTTGGCAAAAATAACCGAATTGCTAAATTTCTAATTATTTTTAACTAAATAGCCGATTTGGAATTTTTAATATAATTTTTCCAAACGTCTATTTTGGCCTGAGATCACAATTCCATTATCATGCTTCCCATGTCTCCACAATGTTTTATATTTATTGAATTTAAAAAGTAATTGCTTTTCTTGGAGAGCTAATTGAGGATATAAGTCAGAAAAAAAAAATGGATTGGACACAAATATATTTCACAAACTGTTTGGCTTCAGTGTTCATTAACTAAACAGTGACTTGGCACTTCAGTCCAAAATTCAGTCACGAGTAGTAAAACTTTTGCCTTTATTTGCGAATCATTTGCTGATTCGTACAGTGAGTACCCAAATCTTTTTCTTTTAAGTAAGGAACTGATATTGGCGCATTAAATCTCTGGTCAGTTTTAGCCACTCTGTACATACTATAATAGTACAGTGAATGGTTAAAATGTAACAATAAATATGCAGTGGATCTTAAAACTAGGCTACGTTCCTATTTGCCCTAGGCTAGCAGCTAGGGAGTTTCCATAGCAACCACAATGCATGCGCTATGCTTACTATGCTCCAAGCGCAGAAGGACCACCCTTGGGAGAGTTTTTCTGCTCTCCCTTGTCAGTCAAATCATCGGCATGGAGTTTATTTTATTTCTCTGATTTCTCTTGTGCTACTGTTTCGATAGTTCTTGTGTATTGTTTCTGGAAGTGCCTGCCAGTGATTTGCATCTGTTTTTGTCTCTCCATCCCCAGCTGTCAATTCACGAGCGAGAAGACAATCCGGAAGGCCACCTACTGGTGATGAAAGGGGCCCCGGAAAGAATCCTTGACCGGTGTTCCACCATCATGGTACATGGCCAGGAGGTGACTCTGGATGAGGAAATGAAGGATGCTTTCCAAAATGCTTATTTTGAGCTTGGAGGACTGGGGGAGAGAGTATTAGGTGGGTTTTTCAGTGCCACAATCTAGATTTATAAAACACATAACAAATCTAGAATCTAAAATTGAAGGCTTGCTCTAGGCACCCAAATATAAAGTGCAATTCACAGGTTAATTTACAGATAGTTATGCTGGATGTAATTTGTATTAATCTTCTCCAGATTGTTTTTGTTTGTTTGTTTTTGTAAAGAGACAAGGTGAAGCTAAACGGTGACTAGGACACTATATTGTTAGTAATACCCATTTGTATCCCTAACGCTAGTGTTCCTTTAAGAAACGCATCTTTATAACAGCCACATCCTGCCGTTTGCACAGAGTACATTTTGCTCCTGTCCGAACTACAGGGAAATGTTGTTATGAAGATTCTTGTATCACTGTCAGCCGGCTCACAAAATTATTCGTACTTGGAACACGGCTTACAAACCCTTTGTCTTTATGAAATATTCTGACAGGTTTATTATATTTAGAAAGTCAAGACTTCAGCTGTTCTAAACCTAATCCTACAGTGTTTTGGAATAATCCAGGGGATTTCCTGCCCTTAATTCCATAATTCCAAACGAGCTCTGAGTTACGCAGAACTAATAAAAGGACGTATACATCAGCCAGTGGGCCAGTAAAAGACACTTACTGTCATTGACCTAGAATCAGATTGGAATAACTTCACTTTAACTATTTCTGTACTTTAATAAAAACTTTAGAAAACTAATTGTACTGCGACATACCTCAGATTCCGAGGTAGTATGTTTGTGAGAAGCCTATCAGTTTTATGAGCGGTGATGCCTATGATGAAGACAGTATTACCAGCACGCAGTGGGTACATGTAGCATTACTGGCATCATCACACAGCCTGGTGTTGGAGATTTGATAGATGAAAAACACTAAAACAGGCATATCTCCCAAGTGTCCTAGATCTGGCAGGACAGTCTTAATTTGAGAACTGTCAACCTGAGCTATTTCTTTACGGAGACAGCAGACAAGTTCCCATAAGTACCAGTTTTGTCCTCTGATTTATAATCCTCTCTCCTCAGGACTCACTTGTGCAGCCCCCTGTTTCCCTTATAGTTAGAAGGCAGGGGCTGGCTCCTGGTACACAGCCCAAGACTGGGAAAGAAGTAGGTGTAGTGAGCGTAGCTGAAAGGGCACATGCCACAATGTCCCCAGCTGTCAGGATCATGTTGGGCTGTTACAGAGATAGAATCAGCAGATGCACCACTCAGCTTTAAAGGGACACTATAGTCACCAAAACAACTTTAGGTCAATGAAGCAGGTGTATATATGTATACATCATGCCCCTGCAGTCTCCGTGCTCAATATTCTACCATTTAGGAGTTAATTCACTTTTGCTTTCATTTATACAACCATAGTCACACCTCCCCTGACTGTGACTGACACATCCTGCATGAAAAAAATGGTTACATTTTCAAACTTACTTTAGAGGTTTGTATCTTCTGCTCTGTAAATAGGACTTTAGTCACATACAGGAGCAGCAATCTATTTACAGACAAGAGATAATAAATTCTAAGTGAAACTGAATTTGCAATAAATTAATTGTAAACATCAGATCTCTCTTTACAGGAAGTGTCTAGCAATGCTGTGTATGTTACACGTATTGGAGGTGTCACTAGGGCTATATAAACAAAGTGATTTAACTCCTAAATGGCAGAGGATCTATACACCGAAACTGCTTCATTAAACTAAAGTTGTTTTGGAGACTATTGTGTCCCCTTTAATTTCCAGACCATCCACGTTACAGTCACCAAAACAACTTCAGCTCAATTAAGCCTCACACAGTCTCACTGCTTAATACTCTGAAATTTGGGAGTTTATATGCTTTTGTTTCTGTCAATGTACTAGCCTTAAATGTTGCACATACTGAAATATTTGCACCTTTGTGCAATTTGCTAATTGCACAACCAAAACTCAAGACTTAGGCAGCCAGGAACCCTGTTCTGGGCTGCCTGATGTCAGTTCTGTGCAAAAATTAAGTTTGTCTTCATTGCACTGGCAACAGATATGAGCTTTTGTGTTTCCCCTCCTTCCCTGCTGTCATTTAAATCGCCCCCCACCCCCCAGCCGTCACTACTTCACTATAGTTTTAATGTTTCTTTTCTTTTTTTTTTTCACCATCTTTCTCTTGATACAGGCTTCTGCCAGGGACACATGTCTCCTACAGATTTTCCACGTGGATTTAAATTTGACACTGATGAACTCAACTTTCCCACCGATAACCTGTGCTTCATAGGGCTAATTTCCATGATAGACCCTCCAAGAGCTGCCGTACCTGACGCAGTTGGAAAATGCCGCAGCGCAGGAATCAAGGTAAATATTTCCGACAGATACAAAAGGTGAAAAAAAAAAATTTCACATGTGCATAAAAAGCTGTTTTCATTTTCAACAGTCTCAAATTTGCTGGGACAGTCCTGTATTTTGGGATACTGTCCCAGCTAATATAGGTCCTATGGATCGGTCCAGCAGATTTAAAAAAATTGGTGACTGGTCAGATTTCAAAAGACTGGGGACTGGTCACTAGGAGCATGAATGACTATTTCAGTGGTACTCCAGGCATGGTCTGCTGGACAAGGAGTATTCTCAGAATACTCTTGCGACCCGTTTTTTGCTCTCCATAAGTTTAAAGGGTAATCCAGACGTGGACCCCTTGCTCACGGTGCCTAGAGAGATATCAGCTATGCCTCACTGATGATGCCTAACAAGGCTGGGGTTGCTGTATCTCTCGTGCAGAGAGAACTTGCTGGCATTTCGGATCTGGACTGCCCGTATGGGTGGGACCAGTCTGATATGCTTCAGATATGTTCTCTCTGTAATGGCACAAGATGAGCTAAAACCAGCTTGAGTTCTGAGCGGGGACCCACCGAAGGGCTGGCTATTTCAGCTGCTGTCCGTTCTCAGAATACTCTTGCGACCCGTTTTTTGCTGGACAAGGTAGGCCATCAGTCACCCTGGCCAGACCTTTGACAAGCAGAATTAGTCCCTGCATGCATGCAGATATGCATTGTGAGAGCGTGTAGATGTCGAATGTGTACGGTCAATGGTAAAGGGAGATAAAGTGGGAGACATGAAGAGATTGTTTTAAACCTTATATTTATCCATCATTTTAATGGTAGGCAAATATGCTAGTTTTTTGGGATAAAAATGCAAATTTTGAAGTGTCTGTTTCAGAACCAATTACTGCCTTTACAGCGTCTCGGTGATGCAAGTGTCTGGAATATGCAAGGAAGTGAGTCTTCCAAATGCTGCATCTTAAAATAAGCTAAAATCAACAAAAACGCAGGGTTTCAATAATCACAGTAGCTGTAAAACCTGAAAACTTTAGACACAAGACACTGTTTTGCACATCAAAGTAGAACATGCCCCATTACAAAACAATATGGATTTCATGAGAATTGGCACTGATAATTCTTCAATGACTGTCTTTGCAGGTGATTATGGTTACTGGTGACCATCCGATTACAGCAAAAGCCATTGCTAAAGGTGTGGGCATTATCTCAGAGGGAAACGAGACGGTGGAGGACATTGCAGCTCGGCTAAACATCCCGGTTAATCAGGTGAACCCCAGGTCGGTGGGCTTGTTTTACTGTGATGTAACCGCCCCCCAACACTGAGAGAAGTAAAATGTGCACTTAGACACAGAATATAGTGTAATTAATTGTAGCAGAGTCCTATTCTGTAGTGTTGAAAGGTTTATTGCAAATGCCGTAGATAGAATGTTAAATGCCGTAGATAGAATGTTAATGCCATGCATAACACTAGCAGTCCCATAACTACCATGACAGCTGCACACCCAGCCACTTGCTGTCCCCCAAATGATGTCCCCATGCATTGTGGGATGTCAAACAATTCCTTTTGGTTGTGAATTGCTTCACACACTGATAATTACATCCATTTATCGGTGTTAAGTTCTTCGGCTATTTTTTGTTATTAGTTCATTTAAGACCAGGGAATTTGTTAACTGAGTTTTTAACTGATTTGCAAACGTGAAGTTGAAACAGTCAACCGATTAGACCAGTGTTTCCCAACCCAGTCCTCGAGGCACACCTACCAGTCCAGAATTTAGGGATTACCCAGTTGTGTCTAAGGTGTTTTTACAAAGAAGAAAAAAAACACCTTAGACACAACTGGGTAATCCCTAAATCCTGGACTGGTAGGTGTGCCTTGAGGACTGGGTTGGGAAACACTGGATTAGACGAATAGACCCTGTGGTTCAGGAAGAAATAAATGTAGCATATTAGCACTGAAACCCTAGCTGTATATCTGCTAATACCAATTAGATGCATTATTGGGGAAAAAACTATCAACATAGCGTTTATAATTCTTCAATAATTTTATTAAATGACTGGAATACTTATAAAATAATAGACCGGTATAATACGGAGAGTAAGAGGAAGGGGTGATTTGCCAGCACATGGTCTAAATATTAGTGCATAGCATGGAACAAGCGGTTTTGATATCTGTGATCTAAGGCTGGTCACTCTCATTGTATCAACAACAGGTTTCAGCCTAGTTATTCTAACCTTCTAAGTCGAGCTGGTCATATAGTAGTTAGATGTTTTTTTTTTAATCTAGTTTATAGAATTTAGAAATAGGATTTCCCTGAGACTTGCTACGCATGCAGACTGAGAAAATGGTCTTAAAATTATCTTTTCAAACCCAAGGTTCCTAGTTGAAGTACTATAAGGTGGGAGCAGACTTTGGTGATTCTATAACACCCTTTGACAAGGTGACAGCTGAATAAATGTCTGTCTGTATTCTTACTTTTCTCAGAGAGGCCAAGGCTTGTGTCGTCCATGGTTCAGACCTTAAAGACATGACGTCTGAACAGTTGGATGACATTCTGAAAAACCACACAGAGATCGTGTTTGCCCGGACATCCCCTCAGCAAAAGCTGATCATTGTGGAGGGCTGCCAGAGAATGGTATGCAGTAAAAGAAAATATATAAAAAAAAATTACTTTGATCACCAAAAAGCTCCCTCTATACAAATTACAAAGCCTCAACTTCAGCAAATCACTTGCATAGAGTCATACATTTGTAACAATTGAAAATTTTAATTCTTCACCTAAACTATGGCTCAAAAGCTTGCTGTCTGGGTGTCCATCTGGTTTGTACCCTCTCTTCAGTGATACTGTTAGGGTACCAGGCTTACCTTGTAGACCCTGAAGTAGTCTACAGCTCTCTAAACCAATTTATCTGAAGGATTATCTTCTGGAAATGGGGAGGGAATATTAGGATAAACTTAAATGTGTTACTGATTATCTGAATTAGATGGTTACGGGAATGAAGGCATAATTATTGCTGCAATTAAATGTGGGCTGTATCTGGATCTGTTAATCAGAAGATAAAAGTGTGACGGTGGTCACCATCACTGGGGGCTGAAGATGGACACTTTATGGAGGTCCCCAGATTACTCCTATGTTTTAGTCACCCTGTGCCCATTATAGGTACAGGGTGTGTATTTTTCTCCCCAATTTCCTTATTGTATTACAAGAAGCGTGTTGTCCCATTGTCCCACAGACACTTCCAGGCAAGTTTAAACTGGCTGTTTTGCCATGCCCTTAAATCTCCAATGTGGTCCTTAGTCCTTGTTGTTGTTTTCCCCCACCCTGCTTTGTAAACACAGTAATGCATTTACCCTAATGGAATTTAATTGGGTTATTGTGTGATTGTGAAACTGTTATTATGCAACACTTCTTGGTCTCCAGCAGGTAATTAAATAATGGTGACTTAAACTAATTATGTCCTGGACACCAAGACTCTGGGGAGGGACCTTCATTGTTTAAACTTATGACCTCCTGTGGGGAATGTGCCTGTAAAATACCTGTGTTGTGTTCAATAAAGTCAGTTCTACTTCACCCTTCACTAAGTCTTCGCTAGTGTTTGGGTGAGACAGCTACCAGCTATATGCTCTGCAGGAGAGAGTTATCACTTGGATCTGTACCCAGAACCCTGTTCCAGGGCGGGAAGCTACAGAGAGACCCCAGCCAAGCTGAGTCGGCTTGGAGATTAAGCACTACTAGTGTCCGGGTGATAGCTAGGAAGCGAGCTTGAGGTACCCAGTCGGGGTGCCAGACGGCCCGTCACAAAAAGAATGTCTAAATATTCTGAATATAAAATTGGCTCCTGCTCATGATACTCATTTTTATATAAATACTAAATTTGCAACTTCAAGGCCCCCGCGGAAAGGCTCCACTACAGCATTCCTATTTTGATTAACATCACGTCACATTAAATTTATTCAATGAGGAATTCAAATGTGAGCCCAACTCAAGGTAATTTAGGGAGATTCTTCAAATACTGTAACCCCTACAGCTTATTCTAGATTTAAAAAGTTGAAGGAGTATTTAGGTGCAGTGCCCCTGTATTTGGCCATCTGCTACATAGTGGTTTGGCAATTGTTTTTATCATCACAGCCAGTTGTTAGCTTCCTGGTCAAAGCTTGCCTCTCTGGGTTTGTAGCTCCACATTAGCCACCCAAATTCCAATCCCTTTCCAAATGGTTCTACCAAAGTTTGGTGGCTCATTGGAATATACAACCTCATCAGGATAAATGGGGATGTAACTCAGGGCAAACAAAATGGCACATACAAGTACATTTTTTGAATAGATTTTCTTACATATAAATCGTTTGATTTTGGTCCAAATGTCATCTCCTACACAGGGCGCCATTGTAGCTGTAACTGGTGATGGTGTGAACGATTCCCCGGCTTTGAAGAAGGCCGACATTGGCGTGGCTATGGGTATAGCAGGATCGGATGTCTCAAAGCAAGCTGCAGACATGATTTTGCTGGATGACAACTTTGCGTCCATTGTGACTGGAGTGGAGGAAGGTTTGTAAGTCTGTGTAGAATCCTCACACAGAGTGGGACCTGTAAGCAAACGGTTCTACTTCCAACGATTGACAGAGTTTTATAGCAATCTTCACCATGGAGGAGTTAGCTGGCTGATTTAAAGGTTCCCTGTAACCTGATATATGGCCAAGCTATAGTAGATCAAGTTGTAATTATCATTTGAAGAGATAAAAGTACAAAGATGGAAATTTTACAATTGAATCACAAAATAATAGGGCATTTCATTTGTAGGTTATTCTAGCAAAGAAACTGTATATGCTACAATTATTCCCCCCCCCCCCCCCCCCCATCTAATAATTCAGTATGATATAAAATAAAATCTCCAATACTCTGCACCCCAACATTTCTGGGGGGGAAATGAATGAATAAATATGGTCAGTTTCTAAATATTTTTTGGGTGTCCCAGAATAGCAATATATACTCTGTATACTGTATATAAATAAATACGCATTATGTGTTTAAAATAAGTGTTCCAATTCAGATTAACCTTCATGTTAACACTGGTTTCATGGTGTCATACTATGTTAAGATCTCGTTTTTTTGGAGGGGTGGGGGAGGGGGCAATCGTATGTAACACATTATATTGCTCCGGATATCTCTATGTTTTAGAATAAATATTTTTTTTTCTACGGACCTCTCTTGCGTTCTTTCTCTCTCAGGACGTCTAATTTTTGATAACCTGAAGAAGTCCATTGCGTACACGTTGACCAGTAACATCCCAGAGATTACCCCTTTTCTATTCTTCATCATTGCCAACATCCCCCTGCCACTGGGCACAGTTACCATCCTCTGTATAGATCTGGGCACTGACATGGTGAGTGGCGAGTATATCAAAGGAGAAAAGCACAGTCTATGTTGGGGAGGAGGTTGTGATGGGTACAGTAGAATAACACTCATACTATCGGTTTCTAATGAAGCCAACATTTTCTTAATATTTTTAAAATATTCTTATGCTCACTGATCAGATAGTCATGTACTAACAAAGAAAACAGAGTTGTATATGTAAGAAAAAGTTACAATAAAATGTAACACATCCAGAGCATTATGATGTTTCATACCAGATAAGAAGTATAATATCAGCACAGTCTGTGTGTGACAACGCGAAGTATAACATTAGCACAGTCTGACCATCCATGTGACAATGAGAAGTATAATATTATATGTGCTAATACTATACTTCTCACTGTCACATGGATGGTCTGACTGTGCTAATAGTATACTTCTCATTGTCACATGGATGGTCTGACTGTGCTAATATTATACTTCTCACTGTCACATGGATGGTCAGACTGTGCTAATAGTATACTTCTCATTGTCACATGGATGGTCTGACTGTGCTAATATTATACTTCTCACTGTCACATGGATAGTCTGACTGTGCTAATATTATACTTCTCACTGTCACATGGATGGTCAGACTGTGCTAATATTATACTTCTCATTGTCACATGGATGGTCTGACTGTGCTAATATTATACTTCTCACTGTCACATGGATGGTCAGACTGTGCTAATAGTATACTTCTCATTGTCACATGGATGGTCAGACTGTGCTAATAGTATACTTCTCATTGTCACATGGATGGTCAGACTGTGCTAATATTATACTTCTCACTGACACATGGATGGTCTGACTGTGCTAATATTATACTTCTCATTGTCACATGGATAGTCTGACTGTGCTAATATTATACTTCTCACTGACACATGGATGGTCTGACTGTGCTAATATTATACTTCTCACTGTCACATGGATGGTCAGACTGTGCTAATAGTATACTTCTCATTGTCACATGGATGGTCAGACTCTGCTAATATTATACTTCTCACTGACACATGGATGGTCTGACTGTGCTAATATTATACTTCTCATTGTCACATGGATAGTCTGACTGTGCTAATATTATACTTCTCATTGTCACATGGATGGTCTGACTGTGCTAATAGTATACTTCTCATTGTCACATGGATGGTCAGACTGTGCTAGTATTATACTTCTCACTGTCACATGGATGGTCTGACTGTGCTAATATTATACTTCTCACTGTCACATGGATGGTCAGACTGTGCTAATATTATACTTCTCACTGTCACATGGATGGTCAGACTGTGCTAGTATTATACTTCTCACTGTCACATGGATAGTCTGACTGTGCTAATATTATACTTCTCATTGTCACATGGATGGTCAGACTGTGCTAATATTATACTTCTCACTGTCACATGGATGGTCTGACTGTGCTAATATTATACTTCTCACTGTCACATGGATAGTCTGACTGTGCTAATATTATACTTCTCACTGTCACATGGATGATCTGACTGTGCTAATATTATACTTCTCACTGTCACATGGATGGTCTGACTGTGCTTGTATAATATACAAGTATAGTATATTACTAGCACAGTCTGACCATCCATGTGACAATGAGAAGTACAATACTAGCACAGTCTCACCATTTACTGTAAATCCCCCCCTTTCATAATATTGTAAAGCGCTGTGGAATTAGTTGGCGCTATATAAATACTAATAATAATAATAGTATAACAATATGTGTGACAATATGATGAACAGTTCTAGCGCAACATGACCATCAGAGTAAGAATATGATTGACAATCATAGTGAATCTTTAACGTATGTGTCAGGATATGATGGATAATCCTAGTGTACTTTCCAAATCTTTGTGGGTACTATATGGACAAATATTGTTTAAAATTATAAATCATGTTTAAAATCTTTTCTTTTCTTGGTTAAATCCAGTTCTAATCTAATATATAAATAAAATGATGGTAATGTACACAATCAATAGTGTAAAAGAGAGAGGATGAATAGCAGGATAGTAGAATTGCAGAGAAAGGCTGAGGAATAATTACGAAGTCTTTCAAATAGGTACCTGCTATCTCCCTGGCCTATGAAGCTGCCGAGAGTGACATAATGAAGAGACAACCAAGAAACCCGAGGACTGACAAACTGGTGAACGAGCGGCTAATTAGCATGGCTTATGGACAAATTGGTGAGTGCCATTAATGAACGTGCTTCAGTGAAAAGTCAGTCCCAATGAATATTTAATTAATTTCAACTTTTAGTGACATGCAGTTGACTCAGGGTACTTTTAAAAAGCGCATATCTCAAGTCCAACTGTCAGGTGAAGGAATGAATAGTAATGAAACTACCTAGCAGGCTAACTGCAGATACAGGGCCACTTCCCTTCTTTTACAAGTAAAATAATTTATATTTTTTTCATAATTGCAGAATCTGTTTTACAGGCTCACTCATAGATGATACACTTAATTGAGGACTAGTGATGTCCCGAACGGTTCGCCGAACAGTTCGCCACGAACGGTTCGCCACGGACAGTAAACTTTGACCCTGTACCTCACAGTCAGCAGACACATTCCAGCCAATCAGCAGCAGACCCTCCCTCCCAGGCCCTCCCATCTCCTAGACAGCTCACTAAGAATGCAGCTTCACAATGAATGTAAAATGGATGCTGTCCAGGAGGTGGGAGGGCCTGGGAGGGAGGGTCTGCTGCTGATTGGCTGGAATGTGTCTGCTGACTGTGAGGTACAGGGTCAAAGTTTACTCAATGATGAGTCCGCGGCGAACCGTTCGGGACATCACTATTGAGGACTTGTTAGTGTGTATACCACCAGTGCACACTTCATAAAAAGATCCTGTACATGCAGGGGAAATGTTAGCATTTTTGTAAAATGATGCATTTTATTTATTTTTGCCCCCAAATGTCCTGTCTACAGTGAGAGCACTTTATCACTCAGCATGCTCGTTAAGTAATTAGTTAGTTAAGAGATTATTATGCTTCAACGTACGCTTGCTTCATATCAAATAGTACGATTTGAAAAGTTACGGTATAAGTGTAATGAACATAAAAGCAGAAATGTATCAAAAATTTTTACCTGACTTGTAAGAAGCTTCTCAGTCAAGAGAACCCCCAATCTGATCTTATCCCATAAACTCCTGTCCAGAAAAGTTTATTCCAAAGCCACAGTTCCACTTACCACACAGTGAGTGAACATGTCAAATAAGCTGACAGCAGATATACCCCAGCTGATGAAAGTTTTTTAATACTCCAGTTCTCAAAAATGTGCATAGTGATTTTATTAGTTCATGACTAATGGAGCTCTGGCTCCCTCCGAGAGGAGGAGAGAACATGCACAAGTTGGATGAAACTAAGACTGCAAAGCAGAAAATAAAATGTCAAACTTTTTTGTATCTGTTCCAGGAGAATGCAGGTCCCTGCCGCTATACGCAAACCTGAGATGAAAGACAAGGTGCAGGGTATTCTATGTGCCATAATCTTTGCTATCATGAAAAGTTGTTATGGTGCTTAAAAGAACCCTTTACATTTTTAAAGTATATTGTACAATGTCTTGGGGCTGAACTTCCATCCACGTGACAGCAAATCCGTGTCTAATAAGCTACTTTGGTCATCAAACCCTTGACCTGACTTCCTGCACCACTGACTCCTCTAAACACATGCATTTAAATTTCATTTGGCCGTCACATTCGAACGTTTGTTTGGAAATAGTAACGAGTCTGAATACTGATGTCTAATTAGCGTGTCTCACAAAATAGGAAGAAAACAGGGCAATTTGTTTGCCAGGCCTGACTTTACATAGATTAACGGCTCTGTTTAGAAAGTCAAATTATAGATCACAGTCCAACTGCAACATGAATATTAGATGTAATTATATTGCACGTGGCAACAAACACATCAGTCATATGTTGTTCTTTTTTGCCGGGGTATAATATATGTGTAGGTAATTGGAAAGGCTGTCCATGTCTTTTATCATCCTTAGCGTAAGAAAAATAATGGTGTAAATGTTAATTACACAAAGACACAACAGACCTACACTGCACAAGGGAATCCTCTAAACTAATGCAGAGCTTACAAACTGCATTGTAATGGTATTACTTGGAATTACTGATCAGAACGGCTAAAATTCTTTATTGATTGCGAGGGCAAAATTCCAACTACTTCCCACTAAAGTCCATGGATTAGTTTGGTTACCAGGGTCCCTTGACTGCTCAAGCTCAATATGTAGGAGCTTAACAGTTAAAGTGGATCTTTCAGTATTTCATTAAGATATGTTCTTTATGAAATACTGATTATGACTGAAATTTCACTGAAATTCTAACACATTCTAAAGACACGATAAGACCTCCAGCATATAGTGTCATTTTACCCCTTTCCCCTTAGAATGTAAGCTTGTTTGGACCTTTTGTTCCTATACGATTAACAAGTCTTGTTGCAACTACTTGTTTGTTAGTCCATTGTGGAATTTATCGTCACTTTATAAATAGGAAGAAGGAGAGAAAGTAGGGACTAGTTTGTCCACAATGGTCTGACTCAATGTAACTGACTAACCGGAGGACCCCCAACATGATGTTTTTTAATACGTATAGCTGGAAAGGCCTTTTGGTAGACACCAGCTGTTCTAGCACCAGAACTTCCATTATATTTGCCAGCATTAAAGGTACATCAAATGAAAGGAACATTCAAACGTTAGGAATAAAAAAACGATTTAGAATTATGCCCCTATGCCCTTAACAAGTAAAATAAATAGTATTACTTACCTTTAGTCCACATGCATGCTGGTTGCTCTGTGGCTACCACTCCACCCAACCTGAAATCACTGAACCAATCAGCATGTCCTCATAAAGATGCATTAAGAAAAAAAGGAGGGTTGCACTCAGTCACAAGTTGTAATACAGGGTGCACTGAGCATGGGTCAGAAAACCCCAAACAATCTGTATAAATGAAAAAAAATCTCAGGCACTCACTGTGATCACTTCCAGGCAGTGTTCATAAAGACCTGGTTTATCAAAGACCTGGTTGATCAATGTAGGTCACATCTTCTCCTCTTCCATGTTGGTCCTGTATGAAGAAAGTGGTTTATCTAACAGAGCCTTCATTATTACACAGATAACCACCATGCTTTACATTTTCCAGATTCTTCTAAAATCTTGTATAATCCTCAGGAATGATCCAGGCACTCGGCGGATTCTTCACCTATTTTGTAATCCTGGCAGAGAATGGATTTCTGCCTTCACGTTTGCTAGGGATCCGCTTAGACTGGGATGACAGATCTTGCAATGATGTTGAAGACAGCTATGGTCAGGAATGGGTGAGTGCACTATCAAGAACAAGGCTGTTTCCATCCTTCCAGCTGCTGTTGAACAACAAGTCTAATTAATATGTTTTTGAGCTCCCATCTTGGCAACATATGTTTAGGTTGTACCAGTTTGGCAACAGATGTTTTGCTGCCTCCAGTTTGGCTAACAGTGGAGGAATGAGGTGTTCTAGTTTAGCAACAGTAGGGATGGAACAACGAGCCATGACTTTATTGGCATCTTTCAAGGATTCATCTGAGGCTTGGCTTCTCCTCATCTGAGGCTTGGCTTCTCCATATCTTAATCCAAATGAAACTAAAGTACACGGTCAGTTATAATCTTTTGTTTCTTATCCACTGCTAACTGCTGAGCTTTCTTCACAGACCTACGAGCAACGTAAGGTTGTGGAGTTTACATGTCACACTGCATTCTTCGCCAGTATTGTGGTTGTCCAATGGGCTGATCTGATCATCTGTAAAACCAGGCGCAACTCAGTCTTTCAGCAAGGAATGAAGTAAGGGACAGAAGACAAATTCGGGTTGGGTATGCCCTTTCACTTGGGAAGGTTTGTATATGATTTCCCTAACTGTTCCATCTTTATTTGTCCAGGAATAAGATTTTGATCTTCGGATTGCTGGAAGAGACTGCGCTGGCCGCCTTCTTATCATACTGTCCCGGAATGGACGTAGCTCTAAGAATGTATCCACTAAAGTGAGTTAAACGTAGGATTTTTTTTTTTCCATGTATTGGTTCCATGTGGAAACTTGTAAGGCTTTTAAGTTTGATCTGTAACCTAAACAAAGATTATTGGCACAAACAAGCTTGAGTTTGATGGTATAATGGAAAACTTCTCAAAAACATTATAAAAACACACCCCATGGTGCTTAGTGAGATGAGACTCTGCCACAAGGTGCTTAAATGATGGTAGAATAAAAAATGCCGTGGCTCAAAGAGCTTGTGACCAAGGGGTATAATAAAGAACCTCATGACGGAGCTTGTGATTTAATATAATAGAAGAATCTGCACTAACTATCTTATAAGCAAGCAATATATTAAGAAACCATATGCCAGAGGACTTACTAAGAATAAAAAAAAACATTTAAGGAAGTTACAGAGGAGAGTAAAATAATCTTTAATATTTTTTTTTTTTAAATGATTTCTTTAATCCAGTAATTAATACATTGCCTTGGGAAGGGTGCAATAAATATATAAAGAAAACCATATATACTTAGACCGTAAATTTCTGAGCAGTAGATACTGCACATATGGCCACCAGATGGCGATAAAAACTGTACCCAGACACAGTCCAGTCTGAGCTCATTAAATTTTCATTGGAAGTTGATCCACTCTGATGGAGTATAGTACCCTGTTTTAGCATATGTGTGCCAAATTCATGTATTTTTTTATTTATCGTTTTATGGATGCAGTGACGTGTATGAATATATTTAGCACAATAAACATTTTTAACCGTGTCCGGCAAGTCACAGCATCTAGGTTTCCCATGGCCAGCTCAATTCATATGCAATAGATTTAGTGTTTCTTAGTGAGAAGGACAATCAGACAAGCAGAACTTGTAATGGTCCATATAATTATATAACATTGGGGTGGATATAGAGAGGTAGTGATAGTACTTTTTAGATTCCTGGTAAGATCTCACCTAGAGTATTGTGTTCAGTTCTATAGAGCAGATCTCCAGGAGGATATAGAGAGGTAGTGATAGTACTTTATAGATCCCTGGTAAGATCTCACCTAGAGTATTGTGTTCAGTTCTATAGAGCAGATCTCCAGGAGGATATAGAGAGGTAGTGATAGTACTTTATAGATCCCTGGTAAGATCTCACCTAGAGTATTGTGTTCAGTTCTATAGAGCAGAGCTCCAGGAGGGTATAGAGAGGTAGTGATAGTACTTTTTAGATTCCTGGTAAGATCTCACCTAGAGTATTGTGCTCAGGTCTATAGAGCAGATCTCCAGGAGGATATAGAGAGGTAGTGGTAGTACTTTATAGATCCCTGGTAAGATCTCACCTAGAGTATTGTGTTCAGTTATATAGAGCAAATCTCCAGGAGGATATAGAGAGGTTGTGATAGATCCCTGGTAAAGTCTCACCTAGAGTTCAAAGACAAGTTGGTAAAAAGTGGATTAGCAGATTATTGTGACAGGCAAAACCCTGAATAAAGGTTGTGTAACACATAGCAGACATGATATTACTCATTGAGCTTGTCTCTTTTTATATTTTCACAGAGTTACCTGGTGGTTCTGTGCCTTCCCTTACAGTCTGCTTATCTTCCTGTATGATGAAGTGCGGAAGTTTATTTTGCGTCGTGATCCAGGAGGTAAGGGAACAAGGCAGAGATAGCTGAAACTTAATAATTAGGTACAGAATGAGCAGAAACAGGTCAAAATAGCAGCTACAGGATAGGCTAAACCCGTGAGCAGAATATGATAATGTACCCCATGTTTAAGACATGGGAGCTTTATGTTGGGTAAGTGGATTCAAGTCAATCAACAAGCTAAGAACAATTTTCTGAGTGGCTAATTTACTATACATAACCCTTAGAGAGCTAGATGTTCTTCCAAATGTTTGTTTGCTGCACAGCTACCCAATAAGAGTTTTTCCTTCAGAAGAAGCTACTATCGCTAGAAAAAAAAATCCACAGCCAAGCTTTTATTGAGGTTCAGCAATCAAGGATGGATGAATGGGTGTGAAGCTTTCAAAAGTTATATATTTTAGAAATTGACTCACAGTTGTGTTCATAGTTTACAGGTCTTTCTTTTCAAAAACTTTCAGATTCCAGTAAGTGTAGGAGATAGGGTACCCTACTTTTGCTGTCAACTCTCATCCTCATGCTCTTCTCTTTTCAGGTTGGGTGGAGAAAGAATCATACTATTGAGGAGTCTGTTTCAAATGGAACACTCCAAGTTGAAGCTCTTAGGCTTTATATTCTTAGACGGAAGTTTGACTGAACGGTACAGAGCGAAGAAAACCAACTTATTAATTAAACTCCAGTTCCAATTTTCCAGAACCAGTTCCAGCTGGAAGTTCCTTTACAACGAGGGATAGCAGATTAACAAGAGACAATCTATATTTGATTGTAGAGCTAAGGGTGGACTTGGCCAACTTTTTAAGAAATACATTTCCCCTAATCATGGAAGAATAACTTCTTCCATAGCTGAAAAGTCTGCTACCATCGGATTTAACATCAATGAAACCAACCTTCCAAAATAACATAGTGCAGGCTGTCTTGAAAATATGAAAACACGACTTGCAATGTTTTGTAAATTCGGCTAAACACATGCACTCTTCCAAGGTCACCTTCCCCTGTCCATTCTATGCGATGTGTGTGTGAAAAAATGTAGATTCTTATTTTTGTCTTTCCTCAAGAGCCCCCCTCAAAATACTTCACCCACTCACACAATAGGTTTACAAATATATTTCTATAAATATGGAAATTGGATGGTCATATTATTAGGACACTTCTAGAAACACAAGTATGGATATAGATAATCCATTCAAATGATTTCCCAATGCTGTCCAACTTTATATCACCGGGACAAGGACATCTGAGCAAACATAGACTATTCATCTATGATCTTCCACACATAACTCCAACTCCAAAATGATACTTAGTAATTCTCTGTACAGGAGATATTTAACTGTATGGGGGGACAACATCTGCATAAGGGTTTTATTAACTAAAAGGTGAAATAGTCACTCATGTTCTAAACTTTTCAACTTGGGTTATTGTTCCAACTAGTCTTACATTGACTGACTTTCCCAATGGATTTTAATTCAGTACAAAGGACCATTTAGTCATACATTTTCTTCAGAGATTTTTCCTTTATTCTAGTGAATAGAGTGGAATGAAATGAGGGTTTTGCATAATGTTGATGTTGCCACTGGAGTGAAGACTCTCCAAATTATCACCCCTTCTTAAGACTCTCCTCACCATCATATTCGTTATCTAACAATTTCAGCAATGATCATTTTAATTGAGGTCCTTGGTATAACTATTGTTATCAATAATGAACAAAACTGTTTCAAATTTATGTAATCTCATGCATGAAACCTGTGTACAAGAAAGTAAAAAAAAACATCTCAAACGCTTCTACAACCTGGATTTGTCATTATTTCTAGAGAAAAACTGATTATTACCTTAAATGTGTTATCTTCAAAATCCTGCTCCACGTATTTCTCTCCAAAAATGGAATTACCAGGGCAAAAAAGTAGGTTTTCTTTGTGGTTTTAGTTTTAGAAGATATGCACTTTGTTTTAACACTTATTCTCTAAACTCAGAATTCGAAAGCAATACGGATATTTGGGGAATTTGTCACTGTTCTGCTCGCCTTTTGGACTCAAGTCCATCAAGTTCAACTTTAAAAACACATCTTTTTAATGCTGTTGATCCAAAACAAGGCAACAAAATAAGATCTGATTTGAACTGATTACCAATTATGCCACTTGTAAACTCAACCCCTATTAAGTTCCAAGTATAAAAGGTTTTTTTTTTAGGTAAAATTCAAAATTATGTTCAGATACTTGTGTAAAACGTATGAGCAAGACGTTCAATACTTTACAATTAGAATAGGGATCGGCCAATATAATTTTTTCCAGAACCGATGTCGATAACGATTATTGGTCGTCTTTCTGGCCGATTGCTGATAACAGGTACCGATAGCAGACATGCTGACAGCCATCTTACTCCTACCACTCAGTGTGATCCCAGAACATACAGTACTGTTACTGTTAAGAGTTTGATTGCTGTCAGCAGTCACACTTAAATCACTCTCAGACAGCCAGAACATGCTGGGATCACTGAGATCTTAGCATGTACAGTGCTGTCAGAAATCAAACTCATATCACTCTGTCACGTCTAGCTGTTGGCTAGAGATTCCGGATTCGGAAGACGGCATATTGTGAGAGGGAGAGGTGAGTAAACTAACGGTTATATCATTAAATTACAAGGTTCATACTGTTTATTGGTACAATGTTGATTATCAGATCTAATAATCGGTATGTCCCTAAGCTATAACAACTCCTAATTCCCAGATCTATGAAATTACTGATTTAGGACTTGTGTCTCTCACTCTGGGTTGCGTCTTTGGTGACTCCTCTACGTGTAACCCCTAAAAGCGCAAGGTGAGTGCATCACTAAACACACCTGTAAGTCGCTAGAAACTGAGCACCATGTATGATTGTTCGTGCAGCACACTGAGCATGATTAGATCGCTAATTGGTTATGGCCGCGCCTGCAAAGAACATATGTGAACAGCCCTGACAAACCACTATTGCTAATAACTCCACTGAAACATCCCACAAAGCTGAGACAATCATCACCAGGACAAGGGTCTAAAATCAGGACTGTCCTGCTGTGTTTGGGACTGTAGGGAGAGATGTAAAATGCATAAGGGTCTCTTACTATTCTCACTATTATTATTTTATTATTATATTTTAGCTTCTACATGCAAATGCTGGCAACTTCTGGTCACCTCTCAACATTTATCTGCGTTATCTAATTGCCCAAATAACGAGCAATCGGGAGGTCAAGCTAAAAAGAACAAATACCCAGTGATCTAGTGATGATCGTCAGCACCAATGTGTCTGCCATCACCACTCCTAGCACGTCAATCATCCAAAAAAGCAATGCAGAGCTTATGGCGGATGAGATGTGTCTGGGACAGTTTCTGTCTGCAGATATGTTTCAGGATAAGAGGATCTTACATGCATTTCTTGGTAAGAAGCTCACATACATTTTTTAGAATGTGTCAGTAAAAAGAATACAAGATACTTAGATCTGATTTTCTCGTCCATACGCCAACAGCCTTTGCTCATTTCAAAAGAAACCAACACGGTCACTTACATGCTACAAACACAGAGGCCATCTTATGTTTTACATGAACATAAACACTGTAAGTGGGCCAAAAGTGTCCCTTGGTTATTGGTGAAACAGTTGGTCATTGAACATTCGATGCCTCGGAGTGGTGGCACTTATGGGATACAGGATTCATATAATTAACTAACAAACTCACATTATAATATAGGCTAATTCCATCAACTTCAGGCTTTCATACATATTGGTTTATGTTCAAAATGCAAAAATCCAATTTGAAACAATATCCAATTTTGACAGAAATGGGAAAATAATACTGCTTGACTTCAAAATGGCAATCAGATTGTTTTGTTGGTCTATGAGGTGTTTCTATGCATATTAACTATAATATTTTTCTATATTCTGTTTTTTTTTAAGTATCCAGAGTCTATTTAAAAACAAGAAAACCATCTCTCTTTCGGCAGATAATTCCATTGTTCTTACTGCAAACCTTTTCCTCTGCTGTTAGATACAAAAGAGCTGTTTTTACTGACCCTGCATATATTTGTACCACATTAAAGGGACTCTGCAGGCACCCAGACCACTTCAGCTAATTGAAGTGGTCTGGGTGCTGTGTCCCTTTTGCACTTAGTGCTGCAATGTGCTAGTTTACATTGCAGCTCTCAGTCTGCCCACAGTGTAAGACCTCCAGCATGAGGACCTCTAGCATCAGATTTTTCAATGATTTCCTATGGGGAAGTCTAATGCGCGCACGGCAATTGTTGTGCATGCGCATTAGACCCCGCTCGTCGCGGGGCGATGGAGGGGTTGGAGCTTTGCCACAGTGCCGAGGGACATCTGCACCAGGAAAAGGTAAACAAATAAAGGGCTTTAATCCTTTATTTACCGGGACGGAGGGGGGAGGCAGGGGGAGCGGTAGTGCCAGGAATACAGCTTTGTATTACTGGCACTATGGTATCCCATTAATGTAACTTAATGACCTGATTGGGCTGTTTTGCCAAAGCTAGCTATACATGGATAACTGAAGCTGGCCTTGTCAACACCTACGTATGAATATGCCATGTCATATTACCAGTAAATGTAATTAAGCCAAGACTTTTTCTTTTCTATCACTAGACTGTCAATAAAAGTATAAGGTCAATCCAATCTAAAGAATATAGCAGACTAGATATATTATATTAAAACTGGTATCCAGTTTCCTTCAACTGTTCCCAGTTATATGTTTTCGTATTACGCAAATTGAACATCATAAAAATAGAGAGCTATTATTTCTCCACATTCTCACTTTAGCAGAGTGGCCACTTAGGCTTGATGTCTAAGGGCTATTTTGCCCATTTATTTTCTCCACGCTTTCGATATTAGCATTAAAATGGAAAAATCCAAAGTACAGTTTGCTTGTGTGTGCAGACATAAATCTCAAAATTAATAGATACACTTTCATATCGAATGAAAGGGACTGTTCCACAACGGGTCACTACTGTGATTACACTGAGGCATAGACAATTAATTGTTTTAATTTACTGCACTGCAATGGTCAAGGATTAGAGAGGTAAAAGTCCAATTACAACTCAACCAATACAGTTTAGAATGTTAACCACTGAAAAGCTGGTGGAAAAAGGACAGTGTAAGAGTATTTATAACACCCGTAAGAATTATCACGCACCAAATAGCTAACAACTTCCAAGTTCGTCTGAGCTCTCCTTTTTTTAAAATATTTTAAGGGTGTATAAGATATACCAGTACTTGATTTGAAATCAAATGTTACAGAGCGAGCATATGAATCTTAAGACCTGTCCATGTTCTATTAATATACGCAGAAACCTGGCATCGGTCGTTGAAACAAGGTATGAAGGATTTTGGCTGCGGATAAAGTGTGCTTCATACCAAGCAAGTATCATTACAACGTCCGTATATGCCAATTTCTACTATCTCTGTAGAATTGTGACCTTTCATGCCCCCCGGTCAAATTAAAGGGAAATTTACATCCTCAGACTGTTAATGATTTTCTATTTGTTTTTGGCAGGACAAAGACTAGAGCGTTAGCAGATATATAGCTTTAAATTCTCTCAGGCGCCTGCGTTTTACCATTGTAGATTATTTAAATAAAGTGGGTGCCAAAGACGAAATTAAATTGTAAAACCCTATTTGGATTTGAAATTAAAACACTGGTCACTGCAGACATTTGGAAAGTCTCACTATTTATTGGTAAGCAAGTTGCACAGAGTGAATTTAGCCAAAGATGCACTGACGCTAATACTCGGTAGTACTGTGCGACTGTAGGTAAAGTGATACAAATAAGAATAGACTCTGCAAAAATGCCCACACTACATCAATGAAGACACAGTGAGCTATGCCATTCTAAGTATGTGAAGGCTCCAAGGCTGAATTCTACGGCAATCACGCAGGCCTACAATGCCTACTAGACGTTGTTCTCTTTGACTTGCCAAAAGTCTTGGAATAGGTGCCACTTCCATATTGTTAATGCCAAATAAATGTGGTTTTCTGTATGGCCCACTTAACACTGCCACAAAAACAGAAAGTGGGGTGGTAATAGTGTAACATATTAATTCACAGTACAAGGTAATAACTCTCGGGCCATAAGGCTTGCTCTAGGCCCTATTTCACTCTGAATTATCATTGAAAATGTGCCTTGATTATAGATGTTATGCTGTTGGTTTTTAAAAATTGAGAATTTGTAGACCATCAATGAAAACAACAGATTAGAGTTCGTTTAACTGTATCTAGTGTTTCTCAAAAATTACCCATTTCAGAACTACTGGGCCCCACTTGGCACTATGGTATGTGCATTTCCCATAAAGCATTGTCTCACTTTATGGATGCAAAATTAATTTTATGAGATGCAGACACCCAGCATCTGGTGCATTTTTGAGCATCTGAATTTACTAATCCAGGCTAAAACCACCAAAATACTGCTTGCCTTGGGCCAAAATTCTTATCCTCTAATGTAAAAAGCCAAGAATAAAATGTGTAAAAGATCTCTCTAAGTGAAATGAGTAAACATTGTAATGATCTTTTTCAAAATGTTGTACTGTCATGGAGATGGTGAGCCTGGCACGATGGTACATGTAAATAAAGTAACAGCCTATGTCAAGTCATGACAACATGTAGTCGCCCAGCAGGTGTCAGCCATTTTAAGACAGTGGTCTGTTGGGGTACTCACCGCTGTAAGGTTCCACCACTCAACGCGACATTGTTCAACATTCAACGCTTCACCCAACATCACAAAATTGATGCATCACGCCATACTTGTGTCATG